CTCGCGTATGTGGCAGCTCAAAGATTTGGCTCAACACCGCAGACAACCGCCCGCCACTGTCCTGAAGCGAAGTCGTTTCCTAGGAGACCGCGAACTTGACTTTACCCGGCCCGTTAACTTCCTGCACCCCGTCACCGCAGTTTAATTTATCTGCGCTCTAAACTGACCTGATCCGCTGCTATGTCCGGTCGGAAGCTGTACATGTGTGTATTCTTCTGACCCAGAGGTTAGCTATAGCCAGTGTATAGTACTGACCTGAGTGTCAGACTTTTGCCAGTAGCCTCTATCAGGCTTCGTGAGGACGGTGGGAAGACTAGAAATTGGCCAAACAGAGAGATAACATGCCAGGAGAGTTGGTCCGCTAGAGAGTACACTTATCTCTTTATTTGGCCAATTTCTACTCGAGCTATTTCCAGCCACCTCCTGAAGCCTGGTAGAGGCTATGTTGCACAGTGTACATGCTCCTTGGCTCCCTGCAAGGATTTCTTGCTCCCAGACACTGTAAAAGTGTACAACTTGTACATTATTCAGATTAGTCTAGTACAAGAGCAATCGACCGACTTGGCGTCTTTCAATCTCTAAGTAATCTAGCTTTCATAGAGTAAGAATTCAAGAGCCTCAAATATTACAAAATCATGATCTAGATTTTGGGCCACAGTTCGTTTCCTAGTAGTCCTAGTAGTACTCACGATTTTGCTGAAAGTTGTTGCGTTCCTCCAAACAGGTTGTTTTGATTATAAGAGGTGGCTATTTTGAGTCATTAGGTTAATAGCATGCCTTCCTGTAACACGTGGATTCAGCAACTCGTTGACCTAAAAAGAATAATATACTAATATCGCACCCAGGATAGTGTAAAAAGAATAATGTACTAATATCGCACCCAGGTAATATCGTATCAGCTTATATGAAAATCTCCTATCATTGCATCTTGTGATTGATGCTAATTGGTTTTTGCGTTTCCTCAAAATCTTAAGAGCTTTTTGAATCCGCTGCATGACATATGCCCCAAAACAACAAGATTTGAAAATTTCAAGAATCTGTCCCCAAAAAGGGGTTGAGAATTATCTTTAATCGAGTTCATGTCAGTTGCTGTTGATTCTAAGAAATGGCCGTTTTCTTCCCTGAAACGATAATAGAAACCATACATCGGGTAGGCAGACTCCCTATGGTCTATTTAGGCCGGTGTGCCCCCGATATGGTCGGCCCGTTACGGCTTTCGGTCCGGTGATTTGACGGACTCTATCCCCTGAGAGACCCCGTTAGCTGCCGACAGCTCTATTTAGCACGCTGTGGCGTAGCGGCTGGTGATACTACCTTTTAATCACAAGGTCGATCATAGAGACAAACAGAAAGTAGAGAGAGAGTGTGTGTAACATCCTGAACACTATGGTGACATCTACAGTGATGGATTGAAAAAAAGGCTGTCTTAATAACTTATTTTAGGACATAATGTTCTGTCTTTCAGTATTGTTACGTTTACGATTTTTTACGATTTTGCCATTTTGCGAATTCTCGAAAGTTGTGTTGAACACATGTCTTGCCACTACCGTTCACCTACGTGCCAAACTCTGTCCCTGACCGATTTCCCATTTGAGAGCGTCCTTGCTTTACTGTGCCCAACACATGGCAGTGATGCCATCGTTAGCATCCACACAATGTCCTTAGCCTGGTATCTAGACTACTTGCGGAGAGCACGAAAGAAACTTGGCAACTATAATAGGTTTTGTACTATGCTAGAGCGGTCCATTTTCCAAGTGTCTTCGTTTAGTTGTCCTCCTTGGGTCATTCAGCGCTACAGCCTTGTCTGTTATTCTAACACAAAGTGCAAGTATTCTAACACAAAGTGCAATGACACCAATGTCAATGCCAGCTGGCTATTTCTATACCACGGTATAGAATTAACAGTCGCTTTGCCAATTGTTACCTAGGTCAACAATGCCGAAGTTGACATGCCAAGTATACGTTGTTGGAATATTTTCGCTCAAGTTCTCGTTAAGTATGATGATTCTGACGGCTGTTTGGTTTTGTTTTTCCGTGCAGTTTTGCTGAAGAAGCAATACCTAAAAGTGAAGACAGGTAGTAAACCTTTCACCTAGTGCTGTGTACCAGACAAAGTATGCAGCGAGTGAGGCACGGTTTTGGCATCAATGATAAGGTCTGGTAAGGTCTCTCAACGCCTACAGCTTAAAATACTTCGAGTCTAAACGTTTCCACGGTTGTTAGTTTGACTTTGCAAACCGGCGCGATATTTTGCGTTTCCGTGCGGTCGTCAGGAAGGGAGAATTCCCCGGGGAAGGGAGCACATCTGCTCACGTGACACGTGAGTGATCCTGCAGACGACTTTTAGGTCAGAATGATGATATCTTGTTTAACAACGTTGGGGCAGACGGTGCACGACACTTCAAGTCGAGCAGATTTCATGAAAATCTATGTTTGCCCTGGTGGCTAGTTTCCGCAATTTCTAGTCGTCCCGAGTTCGGTCGTTCAACCTGAAGCTGGCAGCCCTTTCTGCAGCCGATTTTAGCAGCCAATTCATCACCTCGTTTTAACTACTGATATGATATCTCTTGGTTTATTGGTTTTCCAACCACCAAACATACATATGCAGGGAAAGACAAGAGTCTCCCTGAAGTGGATAGTTTGTTACAATATAATCAAAACACATAATACAATACAATCAATGAACAATAACAGCTTAAAGATAACAAAATTGGATGCAGATCGATACAGCATGGGATAGCTTATGAAACAGACTCATTGTACAGTTTTACCGCACAATGAACAAATGACCTTTTCAGTCGCTCAGTCCTGGCTTTTGGCACAGTGAAGGCACTGTCGTTCCGCAAGCATCTACCTGTAGCTGTGGACCGTTGGGGGGGCACTAGGTCATGTAGTGGGTGCTCAGGCTTTATCATAGCTGTGAACAGCTTCAAAGCGGCCGCTTCCCTCCTTTCTTTCAAAGAAGGGAGCTTTGGAACTGTTCGCTTTCCCCCGAGGGAGATGATGCGCACAGCGCGTTTTTGTACTCGTTCCATACTAGTGGACAGCTCGTCACTACAGCCAACGAGCAAAACATGACCATACTCTAGTATAGGGCGAATCAGCGACAGATACACCTGCACCAAGTCGGCGACACTCATTCCTTGTTTTGTCAGTAACCGCAGATAATGCAGCCTGCTGGAGGCATTGGAAACTGCTGACTTTACATGTGCTTGCCAGGATAAAGTACTGTCAAAAGTAAACCCGAGGCCCTTTGCAGTTGTTGTAACAGGAACAAGTTCGCCTCCAAGAGACAAGGGTGGGGGTACAGGAATGTTCCTACTGAAGCAGATCTGCAACTGCTGACTCTTTTTCCCGTTCAGTATCATGTCATTTTGACCAGCCCACGTGTCGAGTTGCAACGCTTCTGCTGACATAGTGTTGTCTACGCCACATGACCGACAGGGGATTGACCTGGACAGGCCAACGTCATCGGCATACCCCACATCTAGGGTGTCATTATAGACTGTGGAGCGGGAGCTCATGTACAGGAGAATATCACGATTAGCATGAAGGTTCATCTGTGTTGGTATGCTAAATGTTATAGCCAACACTTAGTAAGTTTACTTAGTGTTGGCTATAACATTTAGCCATTTTGGTCATAATGATATCACGATATTAGCAGAATCCATCAATACTGCTTTTTACAGAAGCTCTTGTTTTTCGCCTAATCTTACAACGGGGAACTGCTCGATTGCATGAATCATTTATCTAAGATACAGACAGAGAAGACAGAGGCTCCTTGTGAGCCAGATTCGCACCCACAGGGTTTTCCGTTCGTCGTTGCCAAGTTGATGAACTATCTCCTGAGGGCGGACACCGTACGCCCTACCTCCTTCCAGCAGAGGCGTGTAGTGTGTCTGTGTGATATCCGCGTCTCAACGTTTAGTCTAGACTTCCAATTTGTAGAGTTTTAACCCTGCACAACGTTGCAGAGAGATGCCGACGACTGAAGGTCAGAAGTACGCTTTAAGACGGGTTAGTCATACAATATACAGGTTAAAAGTCCTTCCCACAGGAGTCAAGTAACACGTGCAGGGACATTCTGAAGAACAATGTGTTTCTTTCGCACTCTCTTTTTGCCTCCGAAAAATTTAAAGAGATTGCATTTTTCCTCAAAGAGTTTATGCTTTCTATTTGATCGTCAGAAGTGAGGAGTTGATTTCGATGCTGTTTTGGTTCCTTTGACTAAGTCCTGGAATACTGATGTTGATACTGATGCTTCGGATGCTGATGTTTCGGATCCAGGCATCATTCTATGCAGAGTCTGACGACACATTGACAGAAATGGTGCAGGAGGAAACGTCTGAATCATGTCAGCTGCAAATACTATTGTTGTGCACTGTATGTATAAGACGCAATACAGCACTGGTAGACTAGTCTGCAGGCAAATTTGTCCTACTATGACCAACTACTCGGCAATCATATACCCTTTCTTTGGCCGCTTTCGACAATTTATTCGGCCTGCCCAGGAGTCTGGTGGAGACTGCTGGTACCTGTCAGGGTTGTTGTACATGTCATGTCAATCTTAATTCAAAGTCTAAATCTAAGAAATCCCTACCACCGTTTCGCCCAGCATGTGAACCTTGTAGGGCAAATTATGGCTCCTCTCCTAATAGCTACATTCCCTAAGTGCAGTCAGCAAATCAACACAGTAACATATTTCTTTTAGATGACATAAGCCAGGACACGGTATTCTGGAAACTCAGCACAACATAGAGAGAGGAAATGGCAACCTGTCAACGACCTGTGTCAAAAAATATCTACCGCTTGGCTTGCTTCGCGTGGCAAAACGTGATGTCTGACAAGCAACCGTAAGATAGCTGACCTGTATTTAGAAACCGCAGATAGTTCTGGATTTGTAATGTGTAGAACTTGGTCTATCAGTGTTCTTTGGCATTTTGGATACGTAAAGCATCCACAACTTTCCCTAATATCAAATATATTCCTTCGGTTATTCCTTCAAAATTTATTCCTTCGTACGTAAAACTTTCGGCTTCGGGGAGTCCTTCAGACTTGCTCTGTTTTTATGAAAACTTTGAAGTGATAATCTGCAGCTGTTTCTTGTGTGCGTGCACGAGTCGTTGTATGTAGGGAGCCTAAAAATACACGCAGTCAGCCTTCGTTTCTATCTATTGTTCTGTTATCAGGAAAAGTTGACATTCGTGACTACATAGCGGCCTGAAAAGTACAGCTGGATTTCTTTGTTAAGTGTAATACGACAAGAAGTGATTCTTTCGAGTAAATGTGTAGGAGATATGGCACTTCAAAAATAAACTGCATTGGTCTATTGTGTCTACGTTGGACATTTAAACTACGTAGGGTTCTGAAATGACAACACGGCAATGTCTTACAAGAAACTGCTACGAACCACCTGTTCTTGCCCCCCACCCCACCCCCTAGCCCTTCATAGCATCTTGCAAGGTACATCTGTATCTAAATAAAAATTTGAAATACATGGGGAAATCTCATATCTGTATCTGTATCCGTATAGCCGGTATAACCGCCCTTCGGCGTAACACACCAGCTTCGCAGGCACGCGGTGCGGCGGCAACTAGCTCCATTATATCCTAACGACTTGTCACATCTAGCCTTTGAATATCTAACTCTAAACATTGTCAAAAGCCATCGAGTGAGGATACCCCTATTGTACTTGGCGGCAGCGAGTTCCACGACTTCTAATTCTATAGCTCAACGTCTTCAGCTTACTCGAAAATGAAAGAAATGAATCATTTGATCGCTTTGGGGACGGAGTGTTGAAATGGTCATTTCAAAAGAATTACGTGGGTGGGAAATATAGCTGATAACGTATCTTGTCTGATGCTGATTGATGGAAATAGCTGGATGATAGGCAGGTCTGGACACCCGTTCTCGCCTGTCGTGTTGATCGTGCTGAGGCCTGACGGCATCACTCACCACGCCGTAAAACGCCCTACTTCCTCCCGAACAGGTGGCCGGCTCGCCCCGGCAGGGTGACGGGTTCAGTTACCATCCCGGCTGTACCTCATTCAACCTCCCAACAATACCGAAAAGAATTCCCACTACTGTATCTCCAGATCGTTTTTTTTTATTCCAGCATTTTTTATCACAAGACGTGGTGACGGCAAACTCCAGTTTTCAACTTCTTTTTATGCCGTAACCTGGGTGAAATGAGGAAAGTCGCGTTGAGTGCCTTTTTCAAGGGCACAGGCTCGGTGGGATGGCAGGATTCGAACTCGGGACCTCTTGGTTCCGAGCCGAACGCTATGTCGTTACGCCGCACGACCCCACGTCACCAGTCCGTTGTTTTGCTTAAGTATTTCAGACACTCTCAGAGTGAAAGCACCATGTGCAATCTAGTTTACGAAATGTTTGCCAGACTTGAAGGCAAGAATTAGCAGTAAGATTTCCGAATGCCAATCAATTAAATCAAAATTACATACAGAGATAGTACTTAATTTGCGCATGAACATGATGTGTCGCTATAGTAATGTCGATACTTTTGTCTGTTGTTACTTTGTTGCTGTGTAGTGTTTTACTTTTCTGCCACACAATTTGCCTCATATTTTGACTGTTGTTGTTTTGTACATGTGTACTGTTTTACTTATCTGTCACATAATATGCCTCATATCTTCGTCTCGTTCCCAGGATGCCAAAACTGATCGCCACCAGAGAATTCTGTTCGAGGGCGACATGGCTCTGACGTTTGAACAATACCACGACGTCCAGTCTCTCATAGAGGAGAACAAGGAGAGAGAAGACAAGGTAGAATCCGACTTCAAGATTCTAATCTTGTATATGCAGAATTTGATGTTGGATGGTGATATTGTGCTTTCAGCACAACATCTGATTGAAAATTGTACGATAAAATCTAAGAATCAATCTCTCTTGTAGAGTTGTGTAGCTTCTTCTGGGAGTTTTGTAATTCTATAACGTACTGAGGAAGACAGTGAACAGGCTGAAATAAGAAGGTTGCCATTATTAAACAACCTGATGAAACATCGGTGAAGATTAGACATCCAGGTAATAAGATACACGAAGAACACTGTTACTCAAGCAACTGGATATGATTTTGGAATTGATTCCAAAAACATATTCAGTTGCTTGAGTAACTGTTTTTTGGCCTACCTGGTGAAGCCTTTTGCGAGTTTTTAGGTGCCTTTTCCTTTCATAACCAATGTGCCAATTTCAGCATGTGTGGATCCAACTATTCCCTCTTTGGGCTTTACAGCAGTAGACGGACGTGTCTGATTTAAAGTTCCGTGATGTAGTAATCCGTCTTCCCCCGCAGGTGACCGAACCAGAGCACCACGTCCGGAGCAGGCGCAAAGCAGCACGGGACCTGACTATCCGCTGGCCCAAGGCCACCATTCCGTACGAGTTTGACAGTAGCTTCAGTAAGTGGCTAACATTCCCTCTGTCAGGTTGCATTTGTCACTGGAATTGCTACTCAGTTTCAGCTGTTGTTTCCTGAATTGATGCATCAAGCATTGGTTAACACGGTGTGGCTCTGAATCGTCTGATCGTAGGACGACATATCAAGAGTTTGCTCACATGACGTCATCGGTGGATCCGCCGCCATATTGGTGTCCTGCTACACCACTGTATTGGTGTCCTACACCAATATGGCGGACGGTTTTAATCGATAACAAAGACAACCGTGACAATATCAGTTGACACGGTCCTCTCTACTCACAAAAATGGATAGCCTAACCTAGGCAGGAGAAACAAGGGGTTTAACATGCAGGTAGCGATCAATTTCTATGCAATATATTGACTTAAAAAATAATAGAGCACAATTCTTAAACTTCTTAAGCTTGCTTCTAGTCTGATGCAACATGTGGCTCCTTGACGAAAGGTCATTACCCTGTGCTCCGTCAGCAGCACAGTTGCAGTTTTATTGTGCCAATGGCAAAGCACAGATACTGGTCGTTATTTAACGGTCGTTCCATTTAAACTCGCTGCTGTGTGAAACATTTTGGCACGCTTTTTGGCTTCGTGGCGCATTCTTTTTATGCATTGACGTTCTTCGCCGATTTATCATATGTACGTGGTACAGCCGTTCTATTTGAAATGCGACTCTGTGAACAAATTTACGTCAGAAAGTTTCCGTGCTTAAAGTAATAAGATACATGCACAATACATTTACTAATGGAAAGCTATTGCGCTGCTGATAATATATGAAATTGGTTTTCTTTTCACCAATTAAAGAGAGAAGTTGTTTCGCCTTGTATGTAGCTCCCCTGACCCATCTTTGACCTATGACTTTCTGTCCTCTCTAACGCAGCAAACCTGGGTCAATCTCCCTCTCCACAGGCCATGTATAAAACCCCTTTTCGATCCGTGCTTCTGGAATCTGTGATTGACATCTACCTGTCGTCTGCAATCACGTCTCTCTACCGCAGGAGGCTTAGCAAGCTGACAGTCTCGATCTTTTTGTCGTCTGGGTATACCGACAGAGACTCCATGTTTATCCCTGTCCATCAGGTGACTTGGTGCAGCTGGGCACTTCTTGAAATCTTTTTCCTTTAACAAGTGATTACGATGCAGAATTTCTGCGCCGTATCTACACGTGACTGTCTGGGATCAGGTCGTTTCGGCATTTGCCGTGTGTGATGTTTACACTTTGGCACATTTCGCACAAAGTGTCGGACATGAACCAGTGTAACAGGCCGAAGTGTATCCGTGATAAGACTGCGCCAGGGTACAGTTTTAGCCTGGGGGTGTTTCAGACCGTTACACCGGGCCGTGATTAGCCTGATGGGACGCCAGGCTGTTTCCAGTGCCTAAACACAGGCCAGCTTCTGTGGTAAAATTTCCTTGGGGGCATGTTAGTCCTAGAGCCGAGAATTTGGGCTGTGTAAGCCTTCGAAACAGTCAGACATCCAGGCTTGGCTATGATAGAGCCTTCAGTACTTTATTACGCACATTCTACGGTAGTAGAGCCAGATGGACACCCTACTTTCAACCCATCTCACTCAATGGGAAAACGACTCGCAAGTTTCTTGGAAGACCCTTAAAGCTTCCCAGTATTCTCGATACTTAGCACCACTTGCGGTTAATTTAAAGCATGTCCAGTGGTCAGCCCAATATAAATACTCCGCCCATTTGGTTTGACCTCCTTCTCAACGTGCCTGTGGTCAATCACTTGCGTTGATTGTCGTCCATCTGGACACTAGCGTGGTCAACAACACTCCTACATCTGAATACTGGACAGCAACATGTACGTCCCTGTCACTCAGCCCAACGACGCTTGGCAGAATTGGGCTTTTAGTTTTGGCGGGAAAAGTTGGTCTGTCAACTCACAGTCTCATTCCTATTCCTCTTCCGGTGTTTCTGACCTGGCCACGGACCTAATACTTCCTCCTCTAACTGTGTAATAAATAGTATTCTCGTCACTTATGTTAGAACTATATGTTAAAACTCAAAAAGTACTATAGTATTTTCTTTCGGAGTTCTAGTTGGTTAGAATGGTGCCACCATCCGTGTGTGTATATCGTCCGATTCGGACTATGCATTTGATGCCGTTAATTTTCCCTGCATAGGTCTTCGGAAACTTTTCTTTCAGCATTTCTTTCCGCCAAAATTACTCGTCGCCTTTGTGCAGTCAGATGATTTCTCCTGGGGTGTCCCCTATTATGTTTACATCGCAGTCTGTGACGTTATTTCTCGGTCTGTGAATCCGGAGAATGTTACTAAAATCCGGGAGGGATATCCCCACACCTGTCTCGCGTAATATCGCGATGAAAGCTGAGAGCTCTCGTTCACCGGTTAAGGGTCTCGTTCACAGGTTGCCGTTGGGACGGAAGGATTATGTGGATCAGTTGTTCTCTGTGATGTAAACACGGCGCTGTTGTGGCGGTGGTTAGGGCGGGAGGGGGGCAGCCGGACACACAGATTATCCACAAACCGGGCCACGCACTGGCAACGATAACAAACACTCCACTCGGTCTGTTGAGCAGACGACATTAAAATGGAGCTTGTAGACGTGAGGGAGTGATATGCGGGATTCCAGCTTGTCTGGTTGCTAAGAAAAGAACCGTTCCTTTCATGGTCTGCTTAAGAAAATCATGTCTTGGACCAAGACATAAAACACTGATCTCTTCAAGCAGATATAGTGCTTTTGCTCACTCTCTAAGTCATTTGTGGCTCATTATTTCTTCCTGCTTTTTCTCTCCGCAGCAACTGGACGAAAAGACGCACAATGAAATGCGGACAACTGCGGCAAAATGTAAACTTACGAAATTCAAGCAAATTCACAAATCATCAAATCAACCACGTTAATGATATCTTGTTGTCGTCTGTGATGTAACTGTCAGATGTTTATTACTGTTGTTGTTTATACTTTGGTCCAGATACTTTCTGGAAACGGTTCATTGACCTGATCGAATTTTAAACTGCTGTGAAACTGACCATAGGGGTCGTCTGTTGAATGTAAGTCCGTATCTGGTCGCTCGTCACTTGTTAATAACAACAGTGTTTACCGTATCGTCTAACAGATAAGGGCGTTGGACTCGGAACCAATAGGTCCCGACTTCGAAGCTTCGGGTTCGGATACTCACCATAGCCCGACGTTGTGCCCTTGCCTTTGGAATGGCACTTTACACGACTTCCCTCTCTGTATGGTGGAGTGACGCCCACCGAGCCTCTTAGGACCACTTTACACACAGCTTTTCGCGACAGCGGGACTGCAGACAGCAGCACTGCCGACAGCGTCTACTAATCCGTCTTAATGTGTGCCAAAAACACACTACGGATTTAATGCGCCAATGTGTCAACATCAGCACATTTGTCACTGAGAGCCGTATTTTTTTTTCTGACGCACAGATAAGGGGAACAGGGAGGTGTTACTGGACGCCATGCGGCACTGGGAGAAGTTCACCTGCATCCGCTTCAAACCGCACTCCCCCGGCCTCGTCCAGGAGCTGGGGAACAAGAACTTCGTCAAGTTCATCAAGGGGAAGGGGTGAGTCACGTGGTTCAGTATCCGGTACACTCATTGGTCAGAATATAGTCATGTGACGAGCACGTCGGCAGAACGTACCGCACCTGCGCAAAACCCGTAATGTATTGTACATAGCAGTTCGGCAGAATGTCTCATATAAGCTTGTATTCGCTCATTTAAGGTTAGCATTTCGACAGTAGTTTCCAAATGTTGTGTCGGAAAGAATGCCCTCTGCAACAGGCAAAATTCTGATGCAACGTTGACCAAAAACCCAACGAAAAACGCGAAAATACGGGGTTCTGCGCAGGCGCAGTGCGTTCTGCCGACGTGCTCATGTGACGTGTGGTGTTCAAACTCCACACGGGACCTTGGGAACGGGACGTTGGGAACGATGCCCATGATAGGTCACGTGGTTATCTGCGTCTCCTCCCATTGCTCAGGATCTAGTCACGTGAATGGACTTGAAAGCTACTAAAGAAAACAACTTATATTGGATCATGGATCAAAAAGTCCATAAGACAGCCAATTGTTTGATACAACCCATGATTACAGATGAATGTTATGATGAATATTACTACTAAAAGTACATCGTGATTTTCATGTTCGTTATTAAACACCGTCTCGTCGTTTTCCAGCTGCTGGTCGGAAGTCGGGATGTTTGTGTATGGGAACGAGCAGATGTTGTCTATGGACGACGGCTGCCTGTTTAACGGAGGGGTAAGTCAACAAAAAATAAACATTCTGAAAATAAATGATCACGTACAATTGGACTGCAATGGCAGCGCCACCAGGCAATTAAAAGACAAAGTGCATGTTTATTTCGAACTTTTAATGACTAGACATGGTGACGGCACACTCAAGTTATATCAACTTATTTTATGCCGCCACCAACGCAGAGGACGAATACAGGACAGGACAATATATACTCATTTTCACTCGAGTTAAGTGAAGAAAGAAGTCGTGTAAAGTGCCTTTCCCAAGGGCACAAGTTCGGTGGCACGTCAGAGCTCGATTCCGGGATCTCTTGGTTCCGAGTTGAGCACTAGCTCTGCCTTTACGCCACACGACCACACAAACTGCTTTTCATCGGGTGTAGATAGGAAGGAACAGACGAACGAACGAAAATATAAACAGAACTTTCATGTGACCGTTTTTGCAAACAACCAGGTGGGAGCGGCCATTCACGAGCTCGGCCACACCGTCGGGTTCTTCCACGAGCAGAGCCGCCCGGACCGCGACTCGTACGTCAAGGTTCTGTGGGAGAACGTCCGCAAGAACCAGAAACACAACTTCGAGAAGTACGACTGGGACCGAGTCAACGACTTCAACGTCCCGTACGACTACATCTCCGTCATGCACTACAGATCAGACGTGAGTAGACACGTTGGCCAATCAATGGGGTGCCTGAAGTCACGTGATTATGACGTAATTAGCGGCCGCCATGTTGGTGGGTTCAACATTCCTCGTCGTATGGGAAATAGTCCTCGTATATGATTTCCAAGAACCTCAAAATGTCAGTTTTTTCTCTTAATGTTTAGAGAGGACCAGGTGTCTACAAGAACCAGTATTTTGGGGCTCTGATAACTGGTCGCCATCTTGGACCTACTAATTCCACCATCATGGCGTCGGTTGTTCAAATCTAGAAGCTGTGATGTCAGGTTAAAGACTTTGAAACGATTGACCTTGTTATTCACCTTGTGGTCACGTACGTTCGAACGCTTCGTCCACAGGAATTTGCAACCCGCGTTGGCCGGAGGAAGCTGCGGACAGTGGTGACCACTGACCCCTTCTTCCAGGATCTGATTGGACAGCGGATTTCCCTCAGTTTCTTCGACATCAAGCTTGCAAACGCCATGTATGGCTGCAGCGGTAAGAGAACTTTTTTCTTAATCTCCAAGCAGATTCGATGGCCGCTAAGACAATATCAAATTGGCTAGGCAGTATCTATTGGCCAGTGGATACTAGTACTGCCTGTCCAATGGGTAATGCCAGGCAAATGGATACTGCCTGGCCAATATAATGGATACTGTCTGGCCAATGGATACTGTCTGGATTCTGCCTGGCCAATTAACGGCCACCGAAAGATCTGCTTGAATATTACTTTTTTCTGCCTGTGGCAATTTTGCAGTCACGTGACTGTGACGTCATTTAGCGTCCGCCATATTGTTAGGTTCAAGACCGTGCGTTTGGAACGGCATGATGAAATCTAAACAGTGCACTGTCATGCGATAACATTTTAAAACTATGTGCATGGATCATATTCTACACTGTTGGTCTGTTTACCAAAACTCAAACAACATCGTAATGCCAATGGAACACTATTGACATGGATGCTTACAATTGATTTTCCAGATCACTGCAGTCCCACCGTGACCTGCAAGGGGGAGGCGTTTCTCAGTCGGGACTGTAAGTGCATGTGCAGGACGCACACGTCCCTGGGTGCGGAGGAGTGTCCCCGCAGCAGCTACGTGCAGGTCAGCGAGCCACCCCGGCCCAGAACCCTCCCGCCCCGGCCCCGGCCCAGGACATGGAACATCCCCACCCGGTCCGGCGAGCGCAAGAGTAAGGAGAACGCCGTCATCAAACCCAAGAAATCTAAAAGTGAGGACACGTTACACTAACCAGTCATAGATGGGAATATTCATACATGTGTGTATCTTTTATTTGAGAAGTTCTAATTTGTGATACGCTACAGCTTGTGTAACAAGGAGTTCCAAAACAGCCATTTCACATTCATATTGAACTTGAGGTTCATTTGCGCTACAAAATCTCACAGTAATTTTGAGCATTGTAAGTATCATTTCTGGTCTTGCTTACCTGTAGTATGATTGCTTTATGTAATTTGCAATTCATAATTATTCTTGGTTAGCCCATATAAAAAGCCCTAACTAACAACAGAAGCGTCATTCGACCATTCAGTGTTGTAACTATTTTCAAAGCATACGTTTTCTTTTGAGGCTGACATACATGCATGTATGTGTACTTTGCATCCACAGAAGCTTCGAAGTGTTACCCGAAAAACGGCGCCTCCTACCGGGGCAAGCTCAGCACGACAATCCACGGCGAGTCCTGTCTGTCCTGGAGCGACACCCTGGACCGCGACGTCAGCGTGCACACCTACCCGGGCGGGCTAGCCGGGATCGGCAAGCACAACTACTGCCGCAACCCTCCCTACCCCTACAGCTCCCGACCCTGGTGCTACGTCAAGTCCAGCCGCTACTGGGACTACTGCGACATTCCGCTCTGCAGAGACAGGGACGGGTCCGGCGTGTCCAACGAAGTCAACCGTAAGAAGCACAGAAAGCCGGGCTACCTGAGTAGGGAGAGGGGGAGGAAGCATAGACTGTGGCTACGCAGGCGTCCGTCTTCCAAACCAGCCGATACCGAGGACAGGAGCCATTAACTCAGAAGGACCGTAACTTCCTTTGCTAGCCGCGAGGGGGCGTTGTGGACGTAGAAGAGATGGGAGTTGTACATACGAAGCGTTTCTGTATATTAATCACATTCCTTGTAAAGTTTTGTATTTACAAATGACGTAAAAAATGGTGGACTTTATCGAGTTTTAAGGGCTGGAAGGGCGTCTGTTAACCTTTTTTTATCTGCACCTAGTCATTACATATGTACATGTATAGTTGTACGGAAAATCTGGAGAAAGCAACTAGGATGACTCCTTTCTGTCATCAACTGTGCAGCGCCGACTAGCGGAGCAACAGGCATTACACTTTTCAAAATGCCGGCTACTTTCACCGTTAATGATCTCTATGTTATTTGTATATTTTGCACATCATTACTATACTCACAATGCTTGTCTCATTGAGATTTTCTCATATTTCCTATTCATGCAGATTTTGTATTTCAAGTTCTAAATGATAATCATAAGAATCTATTTTCTTAGACAACTGAGTCATCTATAAGTAGGTAACTTATCTATGACCACACAGGTACTCTGTGATTCGGACTATTTATCAACACAGTTAACATGTGATCTAAGATCACAATATGCTGATGTGTATTTATAAGACGTTTTCAGGGAGCTGTTTCACAGATATATACCAGTTACCTCACCGACGTCAATTAGCCATAGAAAGAATAAGATGGCTTGCAGACTGTTCCCAACAAAACGATGAGCTCACATATATGACTAGATACGAGACCTCATTGATCACTCAATTGTACTATTTTGTCAACGGTTTTGAACTGAATAAACCAAAAAGTCACCGCATGTGTTTGTATTGTTACTGGTTTTAGCCTTTGTCGTAATAGTTTGACAAGACTAGGATTAGGTGAATTATAGGGGATTGGCCGGTTTAACAGTCTGACGAATGAATGAATGAATGAATGAATGAATGAATGAATGAATGAATGAATGAATGAATGAATGAATGAATGAATGAATGAATGAATGAATGAATGAATGAATGAATGAATGAATGACGAAGACAACAAGTTTTGCTCCAGTCCTCCATTTTGTTTTGATTTACCACATATACCGAAGGATGATCCATTTTTTAAGATGTCAACACAGACACTGTAAGGTTTTACCCACCCACACTAAGAAAGACCCCTACTTATATTGATAAGTGTAAGTTCGTTCTTTAACGCAGTCGAGGTGTGGCGCTCGTGAGCCCCACCATGATACGGCCTAGCGCCTATCCGAGAGGACAGGACTACCCCAAGCTACTCTCCAAGCAGAGGTTTGGGTTTTGGGGGTATTTTTAGCGTGTTTTTAGGCTTTTTTATCGGGGTTTCTCTTTTGCACTGAATTTTTTTTCCTTGGGTTTGGTGGAAAAAAAATTCAGTGCAAAAGAGAAACCCCGATAAAAAAAAAGCCTAAAAACACGCTAAAAATACCCCCAAAACCCAAAACTCTGCTTGGAGAGTAACCCCAAGCTAGGTACTCATTTTCACCAGCATGAGTTGACTGAGGAAATAGGTGAGGTACCCGAGCACACAACACTGGGGCCTGCCAGGGATCCAAAACCATAAACTTTGGATTCTAGTCGTAACCACCTTGCCACCTCAAGTTATCGAGTGGGATGTAGACGTACTCAAGTCGCTCAGATTGTTTCCACTCGCGCTCTTAACCCTTGTCCTGCAGAGCACAACAATTGTTGTTCTGCACATACAGTACCATCTGTATAGCACCCTGTATAGGTAAGATTTGGGGGTATTTCTCGTGCAACGCATCACACCACAGCGAAACGCCACGAATGCGGGAGTAACTATGCCACTGCAGGGCAAAAAAATGTGGGCACACTTATTAAGACATGAAATAATTGAAAAATATCGTGCCAGGAATGCCAGTAGGACAAGGGTTAAGCTTCTTAGAAGGTGTTATTAGTGATTTACCTAAGGCGGCCTCAGTCCCTACAAAGCTGACAGCTATGGATATATCATCATGACATCTGAACCCTCCAGATATTCTTTTATTGGTCGTGAAGTCCTGATGACCACCGCACCCTGGACCCCGGGGTCACAGTTGAACTGTCACCTGTTCGCTGGAAACTGGGCCGCTATTAATTTGGACGCATTCGGGGTGAATGCAGCTGTAGGACTAGCCTCTACCAGGCTTCGGGAGGCGGCTGGTAAGAGTAGAACTTGGCCAAATCGAGAGATAACATGCTAGAGAAGTTGATCCGCTAGACAGTACAGTTTTCCGCACCTGCACTCTCTAGTGGACCAACTCCCTCGGAATGTTATCTCTCTATTAGGGCGATTTCTAATCTTTCCAGCCGCCTCCCGAAGCCTGGTAGTGGCTACTGTGGGACGTCTTTACCACTGTAGATGCAGGGGACTGTGAATGATGATGGTACTAGCATGAATGGAACGCGAAAATGTTCATATATATCTGTCAGTAGTGGGACTTAATCTAGCTAAGCAGCGTCCAGTTGTTTTCGAATAGCACTGGATTTGGAAGAGTATGGCATTCATTCATTCATTCGTTCTTTCTTTCATTCATTATTTAGCCAGCCAGTCGACCATCCATCTATTCACAGAGGACATTACGTTGCATCATGATATCCTTTAATACTAGTTCTTAAACACACACACACAGACGCACACAAACACATAGACGATCTCTTTCGTGACGCCCTTTGTTAAGAAACAAAGAAAATCCCTTTTCTTTAACAAAAAATCAATATATTTACTATGGCTACAACACACCGGTTTGACTTAAGCCTGCCCGCTGAGATGAACATTACTACGTGAATAGTTTTGGACAGGCGTTTTTGCCCCGAGGGCCGCCCTCTCCCCGCGACACCTGCGGTTTCCTTTGTGCCATTGTGTGTGCCTTATCTCCCAGATCTAGCCCTCGGGCCGGGCTCCATTTGCGGCATCTCATCAGAGCTGCGTGCCCTCAGCCGAATGGAATGCACCCCGACAACGTGCTGGCATTCTTCGCTCAAAGCTTAATTGGACGACCGAACATGCAGAACTTTAAATTTTCCCTCTACCCCCCTCCCCCTCCCTTCCCTACAAACAGGCATAATCACAACGCCGCATTCATGTCAATTTAAAACTTGCTTCTCTATTGCTACTCTTCGTTTTACAGACAATGTGTATAACTATAATTAGCAGACACAACACTTACAAAGTAATTGGGCGACCAAACATGAACATAGCATGCAGAACTTTAAATTTTCCCCTCTACCCCCCTCCCCCTCCCTTCCCTACAAACAGCTAAATTACAACGCCGCAGCACGTCAACTTAAACCTCGCCTCTCTGTTGCTACATTTCGTTTTACAGACAATGTGTATAACTATAATTACCAGACACAACAGAGTACGGAAAGAAACGGGGGAAGGCGTGGCACAGGTACTTCATTCAGGGGGAGGGGGCGGACCAGACATAAAATCATAGGGTAAGAACTGGCAAACCTATGTTTACCTTCGCCAAGAAGGTTATGTTTTCAGGGGCGTTCGTGTATGTGTGTGTGTGTGTGTGTGTCTGTCTGTCTGTCTGTAAACACGATAACTTGAGAAGGCCTTGATGGATTGTCTTAATACTTGGTAGGTGGGTAGGTCTTGATGAGACCTCAAAATGATTAGATTTTGGACCCCCTAGCGGCTTGTTATGGTACTGCAGCTGAACTTCCGGTTTTGATATCTCATGATCTAGACATGCTATGGTGATGAAATTTAGATGGTAGGTAGCTCTTGTGCTGGGAAAGAAGTGATGTGAGTTTAGGCCCCCTAGCGGCTTGCTCTGGAACTGCAGGGATACATTCTTGAAACTATTCAAAAGGGGATAACTCAAGAACCGGTTGACGGATCGTCGTGATTTTTGGTATGTAGGTAGCTTACGTGATGCTTAATATAATTATGTGACAATTATGCAAATATGGATGTAATTTGCATAATTTATAGGGAAATTCTATAAATCAGCTGCATTCCATGATAGGACAATTGAAGCTTGTGACAGTGGTAATTGACAACGAAACACAGGAAGATGTTGATTATGTTAATACTATGTTGACTTAATTTGCATAATTAATGAGAAAATTTTATAATTATGTAATGATAACTGCCTGGAATTTCATACTTGTGGTATTTGAAAGTTAAATTGAGGTGAACATCATTAAACATAATTTATTCAAATCAGGACCTCATTTGCATAATTCATTAGGAAATGCTAGAATGCATTCTTTGTTAATATAAGACTGTATTTTGGTTGAGATTATGATAAAATGATATAATTCATGAAAATTAGGTTCCTATTTCTTAAATCAGGGGGGAATAATCTAATCTAAACTTTGTCAGTCATAAAGATTAACATCATTTGGCGAAGGTATGAGATCGGGGAACTCTAGTTAACTATAATTCTGCCTGTGCGTCACAGGCTTTATTCATGTCAAAGATTTGCATGGGTTAGTTCATGTATGGATACGTGTACCCATGCGTTTACTATTACTAGTAGCACTCCTCTCTTCATACAGTACTAGTAGCAAGACATTGCTTGGCTACTAGATTTAAACATCAAGTATGACTACTGTCTTGCACTGTAGGACTATGTACAAACGTACTGGACAAAAAGGACGCATCGCTCATTAAAGAAATACCAGGCATGTCTCAACTCGTCCTTGGGTCTAATTTACCCAGAAGCGTGACTCAAAAATAAACCACTTATTGACTGTAAATAAGATGATCAGATTGAAGTATTTTTTTCCTTATTACAACATAAACAGGAAAGTCTTCGCCCGGTATCATCTCCTCAGATACATCAGACCACCTAGATTTGCGTCATACGGCAACCGTAAAAACATCTGTTGTACTGCGATGTTTTGGTCGTATTCCCAAGTGGCCGTTCCGATAATCCAGTCTTATCTCAATAGCACATAATGGGAGAAATAATGGGCGTTTGGAATCTCGGACATTTACAGATTAGAACGATGCCAAGCTGGATGCTCATTTTGAGTGGAATGACAAACAAACAAACAAACATAGCCAGTGAGTGAATGTCGTACTTTCGCAAAGTTGTTGTCTCGATTTCCGTGCAATTTCCTGAGTCTAGATAGATTCCCTTAAGGTTTTCCTGTCGCAGTAAACACAAAATGGTGATTAAGATGAGATATTGCTGATAAGATTGCGAGGTGTGGTGCTACCACTACTCACATGCACATTTGTATGCATGAAAAACCAATCATATCTATCGTCTCATCTGAAGGTAACAAGGTCCAGAACATCCTGTAACAACTGTTTTCAGATATCATATTTTCTTAAATTCATCCCATTGACCCCTACACCCAACTCAATACACATGTACTGCATACTAGTACGTCTACGATATTTTGTTGTAAAAATTAACAATAAAGTCAGCTGAATGACAGGTGTATCTTACGCAGATGTCCACTTACTAAAGGACACTATTGTCCTCGACAAGGACGCAATAAAGAGATGAAATGTGTTGATTTTCTAAATGAGTTCCGGCCGTTTGTCTCTCAAACTGTAGGGTGCTTTCCGTCGGTGTACCATGCATAGTGCCATGTCCTCTTTCAGGTCTCCAGTCACCATTTAGAATTATCGTATTTATGAAGAAAAACACGTGCTTTTAACACCTTTATGACAAACACAATGCAGGGTACATTTATCTTATGTTCAGGCCAGTTCTGTCACAGATAAGGGTATCTCACGTCGTTCTTTAGAGGAAATACGCGGCATACTTGTCTGAATACCTTAGATCAGGCACGGCTTTGTCCGCAACTGTACCTCCATTCATGATGCCTTTCTTATTCATCAACACGCGAATAATATCTCTCTCCCATGACAGATGATCACGCGAAACTTGATACTATCCTACTTCCATATTTATGAACTACTTGTTGAACTCTCAGTGCCCTTTGTTAGGGCGTTTCCACCAGGGTATATCATTTGATGCCCCTCCCCCTCCTGATACACTACAGATTTCTGACACCAAACATCTTTGATGCCATACACGTAGGTGTACAGCGTACTTTTCACCTCTTTAAACGCGCTACCTGCGATTGACAACAATTCATGGTAGTTTCCGATGACTGTTGGTGTTTTTGAATGGCACCTGGTGAGGCACATGCTTTACCCGCACCGTGCGCGCTGTGTTGGACCCGTCACGGGTTGATAACTCCCTGCCCCGAGGCTAGGTGCAGCCGGGGAACAATGAAGAATTCCTACGTCGAGGTAAGACCAGTCGTCCATTTGTCAGGGAGGGCACGAGGAGCGAGGACATCCCTGCAAGCAGCTGTGCCTCACGAGGACCCCTAGGACTTAACCTTAGTAAGTAGTTTTACCGCTTCTCTCACCACACTTCATCCGACATCTCCGGGTGATGAGGGTGTCAGTGTAAGAGTCGTTGGACCGGCAGAAAAGACGGTTTTGGGGAGATGTTGGGGATACAAAATGTCCGACTTACTTATGCAACAGGTGCGCTGCAATTAGTACCTAACAGGTGTGATTCCCACAGCGCGCATCCCGTACATTTCTTCTTATACTTTTTCTGTTCTAGAATGAGCTTATACTTTACAGAGTATGTACCAACTGAAAGCGTAATTTAGCTTCAAGAATTAGATATGCACAGTCGGACAGTTTTAGTCGAAAATGTGTTTTCAACCACGCCTGTCCCCGCGCGTCAGTACTGCACCGGTAAATTGAAAAGCAAGCAGGGGTCCCGACAACCGGTGATTTTCTGTCTGTGCCTTTTGATTCGTCAGCTAGTTGTGTATATCTTCGCACCTTTTCTGTGATCAGAAATCAAGGAACAAGAGCCCGCTGTGTCTTTGATAGAGGCTGAGGGTCCCTCAAGGGGAATTCCGAGCCTAAATTTACTAGCTTCACATTTCATCTTCCTACATGGGCTGGGTGGCATATTGATCGCAATGGCACGATAATAAACAGTCATTCATTCATTCAGTCATTCATTCATTCATCTTCCTACAACTCAGCAAAAGTTTGATTCAACTTGGGAAATGCTAAAATTGATATCTGCCTTCCTGTTTTTGTCCCTTTTTGTTGTGGTGGTGTTATTAAACGTCGTATACGAAGGCGCGGTTGTTTCATCTTGGTACCAAGGTATAATTATGGTCTGTTCGCTCCGTGAGTCTTGTTGCTGTATTCTGTTCTTAGATGTCAACTCATATTTCAAATGGCCAGGCTTGTAGTTAGAGGTCATACACAGTGGACTCGTTGGGGAATCGCTGTTGGTATTTATGATAACAGATGACAAGAAAGGTGTGTACGTATATAAATCTAAAATTGCCGTGTTAAAGTCTTGACAGGAAAATTGCAGGTATAGTGCACAGATGTGCGTACCTGGATGTTTTAATGGACGAAAACCCCGTCATCAGTTCTTCAGAATGGCTGTTCCAGCTTAGCATCTTTCAAATATCACACGGCCACCCATACTGGGTAGTCTGTAGCTTCTATTCCCTTTCGTAGTTCGGTTGCCAGATTTTTGTTGATCCAAGAAATATCTTTGCCAGAAAACGCTTTTATACAATCTGATGATAAGATACCGTACCTAGCTGGTAATTGTCTAAGACATCGGGCACGAGGAATTGTGCAAAAATGACTTCCGAAAAGTGTCGTAATAATCTGCAAGACTGATTATAGTGTCCCATTAAAGGGGCAGACGACATTGGTGGCCTGTGTGAACGATTCAGACCTCCTACGAACAATGTTTTATTTGAAATACCTTGTGATCTTACACTGTATTACCTGGCCACAAGGCAGTTTGTACGCTTTAGCTCAAACCTGTCTCTGTGGTTATGGGTGAAAAAACTCTTTGTACAAAAGCATGTTAAGAGTAAATGTATCAACATAGCTGACATTTTTATGTTTTCTTTACCACTAGAATTTCCACGTTGTTTTTCTGCTACTTTTTTTGTTTGATCATCTCTTACCAGACTTTCTCATACCCATTTTTCAATGGCAGCAGTACGAAGATGTTGCCTTTGGCTATACATGTTTTAGAACGAGGGAGAAGACCTTCGTGTTCATAGTTGAGCGAAGCTCGGCCGTGTGTTCGGTGTGATGAAAGCATGTAGATAAACCCAAACAGATACTTAAGTCCTCTTAATGTTGTTGTCGGTACTGGAGCAGCGGCATTCCGCAGAAAAACGAGAATGTGGAGAATTTCCGCGGTCACAAGTGATGATGGAATTATCGTTTAGGGTCACCGATGTACCGGTGACGAAATGCCCGCGTTGGCGGCAATCATACCGTAGGTTCGCGTTCCATGTTGCCTCAAGACGTGAGAAATGTATTCTTCCTCTTCGTATTCAGCTACCTTTTCAGCTGTTCAAAACACTCAGAGCTACGAAAGAGCAGATGTCTGAAAGATCTGTAATACTAAGAGAGTAACTCTGCCAGATGTGAGAAGGATGATGTTCAACTCTTGACCTGAGCTAAAATTTCCCGCTCCAAGTGGCCGTGCAAAGCCTTAGAAAAGATCCGGGTGTTAGAGGCAATGATACACGAAACACAAGATCTTCCCACGATGATTATTCAACCAATTTACGAGCTCTGTTCGCAGTTAATGAGCAGACGTCTTCTTATGCAGTAATTATCAGATGTCGCCGTGTTACACCAATTGTTGCCTTCTTCCTTTCAAAAATGGGTGTTCCCATTCTATATGTATACCGGATACCTCCATATCATAGCGGCAATCTCTTGTTTGCTTAGATAATAGCTAGTGGCGGTATAACACCTTGGAGAACTATGGCTTCATAAATGCGCCGCGTTTGATCTTTTTTCGTATGGCTAAGTGCCTTTTCCATATGCATATTGCATCATCTTAGTCATGCATGACAGTTCCCAAAAAATCCGCTAGTTTTTGTTGACTGAAAAAGCAATGATATGAAAGAAAACTTCCTTTGCAAATTTGTTGGCTAAACAGACCGACCATGCGTGATTGGCTTCACAAGTCACATGCTAGTCACATTGTTGTTACGTTATAAACGCCCAGAATAACTTCCTTTAGCCATAAATTTGTAGATAATGACTGTTCCCAAATTGTAAGGGCTTGTAGCTAAACAGAATCCCGAGTTTCGTAATTAGTATCCTTTAATGAGTTCCTTTGCGAAACTGCTGTCCCTTCATTACATCATAGAAGGAACATAACAGTTACTTTTGACGATTGAACTTAAAATTTTGGGATAAACACTCAAATGAAGAGTCATTTTCTTTGTATACAAGGTGTTTAAAAGTCAAGTCATGACATGAAATCTGCACGCATTCAATTAAAAAAAAACATGTCATTGTTTGACATGCTCGTTTGGAATTTGATACTGAACAACAGATAATTTTAGAACAATTATACCATGGAATATTAGACGGCAGCTTTATACAGTTATCTGAACGGAAGTGGGGATAAGCCGGACAAATTGTACTGTAGTTGGAATAGGTGTTCCAGGGTAATTAACCTCCATCATCAATATGTGCTCAAGACAACTACTCATTAAAGACATCATCTCAATAAGAAAAGATTGAGATTTTGCACGCGATTTCGCCGTGTTCTCACGACCTGTATCCAATCTCGGCATCGGGAAGAATTTCTTTGATTTCAGAACATTGATTGATCGAGGGTTATCGATCATATAGAGTCATGCCCTATAGGTTTTACACGAGGGAAGCCCCCCTCCCACTTTTTTTCAACCTCGATGAGATCTTCATTATATATTCCTTTGTCAAGGGTTAAGAAAAGTAAAAGCGGTACTTTTGCACAAGGACACATCTTGCTAATGTTTTCAAATAATGGACATTAAAACTTTCCTAATCGTTACTCCATTAACAGTAAAGTGGTTCCTGCCGAGCTCTAGCTGAAGGCGAATATTTTTCCATTGTTCTGGCTACTGAGATTAATGACTACATTCCTCACCTGGCGCGGTCTGTCTTTGTAGCAGGCTTCTCCCCGGTATGTGCAGAATGATTAACGATCCAATCTTCGGCCAATTTATTTTCATGGCTTCACGATTGATGCTGCGTTATTGTATAACGACCACCTCTTCCAAGACCTCATTAGTGCAAACCACATTCTATTTTCAGACTATTCATCTTCTGTGAGACTCACAGTTAGATGTCTAAATCTTCATTAAGTCTCCTCATAGTTTACAGTTAGTTGTGTAAATCTTTATCATAAGTCTCTGCTTTGCGTAGTTTATGTTAAGCATCTAGCTTACGTATTTAACAAAGCTTCTTAAAGTAAAGATTACCTAAGAACGTAAGCTTGTACTATGTGTGCAACCAGTCAGATGAAAAATCACAATGCCAGTTCTTGGTCTCATAGTTTGGGTTCTTAGTTTGACAGTGCAGCATCTAGTTAACTTCCGGATCAGCTTGTCTCAACTCAAATGCCAATGTTTTGGTTGATTTGCATGCCATCTATGCCATAACTCTTCATACATTGTGTTTATTCGTTTGTTTTTAGATATAAAAGGCATCGACAACACGCCGTGAGAGAAGCAAGCAAGGACACCATGAGACTTTTCATCTGTATCCTGCTGGTCTCGGTCGCCGCCGCAAGTGGAGAATGGAGTTTCTGGAACATGTTTGGAGGCAGAAAAGGTCCATACATTGCTTTGTATTCCAGTTGTTAACAGTTAAAATCTCCTTAAGTGTACTTAATATGGTCCCCGTATGCACGGTTGTTCTGATACTGCAAATTTGAGTGCCTGTTATCATGCTATCCTTGTGAGACTATAAAAATACTCTACTTCTTTTGTAATCCACTATAACAATTGATCATAGTGCAATTTTAAAAAGAGAGTTTGAGAGGATCACTTTTGGAACGTACTTTATCGAGTTACAGTTCCCATATAGATATAGATCTTTAGAACTTGGTCAGGTATCAGACTGAGTGCATCATCACCACAGTGTGTTAAACATTATCTTTATTAATTGAAGCCAAGTATGGGTCGGCCTCTTAATACAGATCAACAGTGATTGAGAGAAAAGAAAAGGGAGAAAGTTGTGCATTGGACATCAATATTCCACGTTATATACACATCAAATAGTGCACATAGATAATCAATAGATTATATTGCACTTGTAAGTTATCTGCTGGACGGAGACAGCCCAGACGAAGATTCCCACACTAAAGTCTTGAGCCGTTTCACAGACCAACTTCTCCGCCAAGACGACGACGAGGAGATCATCCCTGATGAGGACTGTTACACCGGGAAGGGGGAGAAGTACAAGGGGAAGGTTTTCCTGACGGAGAAGGACGAGATGTGTCTGCGGTGGGACTCCAGCGAGGTTCTGTTCCGCTCCTTCAACGTCCTGACGCATCCTGACGGCGAGTACGGGGTGGGGGAACACAACTACTGCAGGTACTACGTGTGTGAAAGGCATCCAGTGCGATTTCAGGGCAGCAAAACTTAAAATATTCTGAATAAGGCAATCTTTGTGATATTGACACAAACTGTTTCACATTAGCACATCTAAATCAGCATTTCATACTTTGGGCATTCAAAGCTGCAGAAACAAGCCCCAAGATCAGTCCTTTATTTTCTGGGTGGTGCCCTGCAAATCAGCCCATGGCCTTTCCAGTAACCATTTTCCGTCAGAATTTTTGGTGATTTTGCTGCATGAAGGTCAATATACATTGAGATATTGTGGTTTCAACTCAGTATGTAGATAAATGACTAGAATATTGGCTTTTAAAAATCGGGTTTCCAAGTTACTGTTTTGTTGTGTATTGATGAATACAAAAACTTCTACAGGAACCCCGCCCCCGGGATTGTGGGCCGACCCTGGTGCTACGTGTCGTCTGACAACGACTGGGACTACTGTAACATTCTGAAGTGCTTGGGTATGTGTTTATCCATAATTAAATTCCGTTGCAATCCCGACATAATCACAAAACTGTGTTTCTCCAAATTTCACAGAATCTTATTTTGAGCATCATTGTCATGAGTGCCTCTTTATAAATTCTACTGTTATCTCATTAAAAGTGTTTGTTGCCTTGAAAGCTTGTTTTGTGGTAATTACCAATTGTGTTCAAAACATCTTACAATATGTTTTATCATAGCATATTTGTCAGTTATCATTTGCTTTAAAATCGATCTCACTTCAAAACTAGTGGCTATTGTTTTTCTTCCTCTCTCTTTGCTGACAAACGGTCACAAACGTTTGCGTGTAGTCCATGCTAATTTTGAATGTCCTGTCCAATAGGAACAGACGATGGTGATGACAAATGCGCAACTCCCGTGTGTAACAACATCTGCGCGTACGGCTTCAAGAAGGACGAGCGTGGCTGTGACACCTGCGACTGTAAGGATCCTCCAGGTCAGCACTTTCTTTCTTTATTCTTTATTCTAGGTAAAAAAAAGAATTCATAAAAACAAGACATCTTAAGATAATACAAAACTCTAAAGACATACAAGTAATAGAACAGATAACCTAGTTGCATTGTAAATCTTAAACTTTGATCAATTCATTCTGCAAGTGTGATACATGTACAGTACACAACTATCTTCTGTTATAGTGTTAACATAGCCAATGTCATAGTTATCCACAATAAAAGAGATATAGTCATCATCAACGATTATAACACTTTTGCAGTCGAGAGTATAGAATACATGGTAGCCAGGCCTAGTTAAAGCCACACACTTGAATTAGAGAAGGCTAGAGCTTACATCATTATGTATGTATGTATGTGGGATCTGCTCGATTTCTTGAATGCGATGAACAGATAATAGGGTGTGCTAAAGACCGTCGTTGTGACACAACAAGATGTTATACCAAAGTATCCTGTGTAGGTTCTAAATGCATGTTGCACAAAACATCATCCTACAGGTGGTAAGGCCACCACGGCAAAGCCCACCACGGCAAAGCCCACCCCAAAACCTACCACCAAAAAGCCGGAGGAAAAGACAACAGCAAAACCAAAGGAGACCACGAAGGCTGCCCCCACGGGTGCCCTGTGTCCGGCCATCGATCTGTCCGGGCTGGCCACCACGCCTGTGTCCAGCTGTCCGTCAGGGCTGAAGCACACCGTCGGTAAGGTCTGCTGGGTCATGTGTACCAACGGCGCCCCGATAGAGATCGCCGTGTGCCAGGATGACGGCACCTGGTCCAAGGACTTGTCCAAGATCATATGTAAAGGTAGGTCATCTGATATCTGATAGAATTTTTGGTGTGTAATTTCTCTTTACATTATTGAAAGGGTTCAAGAATTCATTCTTTCCTAGAGCTATCGCAGAGTGGAACTCGCTGTCACCAAGTACAGTAGGGGCATTATCATCAGATAGCTTTAAACAATGTCTAGAGTTAGAAGTTCAAGGGTTAGGTGTAACAAGTCGATCGGTGTAATGTAGCCATCTGCCGCCGCGCCGCGTGCCTGCGAAGCTGGTGTGTTACGCCGAAAGGCGGTTATACCGGCTATACAGATACAGATACAGAAGAGAGTTTGAATTCTGAGCACATGATGTGTGTGATGAGTCAGTGCGAACCGTGCTTATCTAGTTTGGTAAAGGCTAGCACAGTTTACCATCATAACTTATAATGTAATTATCAAAAAAATCTGTACTTCCAAAGAAAAGTAAGACCAAAAGGTGAAGATCAACACTTCCTTAACCTTGAAATGAAATTGAGTTTCTTGTTTTAAACTACAAATAACTTTCCAATCCTGGTTCTTCCTTTACATCTGATATGTTAATTGTATGAAAGAAATCGTTCTCAAATGCTTATACCAATTGGACTTTCTTTACATTAATTCTATTGATAGAATCAGCACCCAAGGTGCCGGATGAGCCCACCACACCGAAGGTGGAAGTCACCACGAAGAAGGTTACAACTAAGAAAGCCACCACTCCTGCACCGGTCAAGACAACCGTCAAGAAAACAACGGTCAAGCCCACAACGGTCAAACCCACAACGGTCAAACCGACCGTTGCCAAGACGACCCGAAAGCCCGAAGCGGCTGAGAAGCCGAAGCCGGCCACCATGGGCCCGAAGACCGCCCCGCCGACCCCGGCGTCGCTGACCAAGACGTGCCCGAAGCTGAACATCCCGGAGGGCTCCCTCACCAACTGTTACGGCGCCGAGCAGAAGGTGCAGACGTCGTGCGGGGTTCTCTGTCTCAAGTCAGACAAGGCCGGTCCCATCACCATGACTACGACTTGTCTGGAAGACGGCAAGTGGTCGAAACCAAAGGAAGGAAAGCTTGCTTGTGAAGGTAGGACATCCGTTTTGTAAAGTTATAATCTGCATGGATGATCTATATTGGTCAAATACTCATAAACATTGAGTGCATGATGTAAGCATTTGCTTAGAACTCCATCTGCCCACTTGTTAACACGTTCAGGGCATTCACGGAATAACTGTTCAATTGCGTGCTATGTATGGGGATGGCTTTTAGGTCTGTTCAATAATGATCTTCAGTAAAGCGCCCGTGCACATTTTGTACCATTCAGCTCCATTCTTACACAGAAAACTGGTATACGGCCGTGGCAAGAGATGGAAGATAACGTGTCAGTATGTTAGCAGTAGCTTATCCTCTTATATATCCACTTATTTCAGTGAACCCCATCATTCCTCCTGGTGCCATGAGTGACGGAAGCGTGAAGATGCCCACCGACAAGACGACTGCCAAACCGGGGGAAGCAGCAAAACCCACCAAAGCTCCTGCCGCCAAAACCGAGAAGCCAACCAAGAAGCCAACCGTCAAACCAACCACCAAAGCTCCTGACGGGACAGACGTGACCTGCTTCACGTCTCGCGGACAGAACTATCGCGGTAAACAGGCCACCACTCGCGATGGGCAGCTCTGCATGAAGTGGAGCGACCCACTGTTGAAGTACTACTATTACAACACCTTCAACTTCGGCAAGCAGGACGGCCTGGGCGACCACCGGTACTGCCGAAACCCCGCCCCCGAGTCGGAGCCCTGGTGCTACTACAAGGCCGTCAACGGACAGGTGGAGTACAAGGTCTGCGGAGTTCCCAAATGTTAGACCGACTCACTCACCCACACAGCTTCGAGATATCCATACGCGCGAAGACTCATTAAGTATTCAAAATGGCGGACGATTGCAGTTGATGAGGAGGGTATAGAACTCGAAAATCACATACAACATGAGACAGTATCATTATACAATTTGCCTTCTTCAGTCGAAACATTCTAGGAAAACATCTCTTCGTTCAACGTTGAAAGAGTGGGTTGACATATAAGGTAGTAAAAGCAGCAAACGCTGGAATTCTCATAAGTGCCTCAAAAAGATACCTCTTTCTATTTGATACAATCTGATCAATTTGTAATAGAAGTATTCTTCTAAATAATATGAATGGTTTTCATCTGTTGATAGTGGGTGCAACAGCAAAACTAGAATATACCGAAGAAACTGCATCCTATTGAAGGATGAAATCGTCGATTAATATTTTTGTACCAAAAATGACAAAAAATGGTGAAAGTTTGACTCCTTTATCATTTCACCGTGTTATCATTATTTGAAAGATATATGGTACAATTTTATAGTTCATCAAAGTATACCAACACTGTATGTTTTGTATAATCATCATTTAGTGGTCAAGCGGTGTTAGCTGTTGGACATATATAATCCCATGTTTGATGCATGAATATTAATTACAGCATCTAATTACATTCGAAACACGTGTAGTTATGATTCCCGTCTACATTGCTCGCGTCATAAATGTATGACAGAAAAATAATGCTTTCTAGGACCCTATGTAATGAATTTTCATGGTATGTATTTAACTTGATTTCCTTGTGATTATTTCACAATTGTTCTACATTGCTTTCTTAAGTTGGTGCTGGCGTTTCTAATTTCTTGAACAAGTAAATGTTTGTTGTTGAATAATACCTTCATTAAGTCACATCTTTTAAGCCAATTATGCAGGTTCTCTGAGGTATCGTTGGGTACTAGTGTTGTATATAAATTTTGTGACACATAGCTTCAGTGGTACGCACGACGTAGTCTCTACCAGACTAATCACACTGGCTATATATAGGGCAATAATTGCCAGGGAGTTTGGCCGCCTTGTAGGTTTGATTGGCCGCGCAGTTAGGAAAGAAACTACCTCCCCACGGCCGGACTCCCTTTGCCAATTTTACCTCTTTTTTAGCCGAATTCTACGACCGTATTCCCGTAGAAAGGCCTGGTGGACACTACGTACCACGCACTATTCGATGGTAAATCACTCTAGTTATAAAAAGCAACAAAACGAACAATACCTCTTTAGGACAGACAACCAGAAAAGTAATAGAGCATTAGAGAGAGAAATGTAAGATCATTTCAGGTCACTAGTCTTAGATCTTTATCTATATGTTTTTAAGTGTTCTGAAGCAAGTGTTATAGGATATAGGAATAGCCATGTATATTGTAATCGTTGTATATTGATTTAACTAACCTACCTCACCGTAACGCCGAAATTGTTTATAATTAAGGGAAAGGGAATGTACTTTGTTTCCGTGAAATGTTTGTCCCTTGTGTTTACATTTGTAAGTCAATACTTTACCTCTTTACCGTTCTTCTTTTCATTGTCATTGTCTCTGAAGGTTTGTTATCATATTTATCAATAAAATGCAATCAACCTAATGTGGTTTTGATCTTGAATCAAAGTTAATATTATATTGCACATCACATATCACTATTTACTGAAGAGAAATTTACATCACGTTTGTCTATCAGCAGTCGTATAAGATACCTACCATTTTAACCCTGGTCTACTAAAAGATTTTTGTTGTATGGTAAGAGAAGGGGGTTGATCGACATCAACATTTCTAACACCACCTACACATACCTGCCATCACTTCTGACCAATGACATACCATATGTAGAGTATAAATATACAAATTGATAAATTTTGGCTTTTATTATAGAATGGTCATTTTAGAATACAGAAATCCACATTGTGATAGAAACCCTACATAAATTTGATATCTCAAATAGCGAATACACGCAGTGTACACATCTCTGTCATGATATATTATATAATATGAATAGCTGACAGTAAGCAGGGATTCTAGATATGTAGTGTCTTTCCAATTGAAAGTGTCAAGATGTCACATTCTCCACTAAGTACCGATCTCTGCTTTCAGGACAGATGCCCATTGTGTGCAACAACGCTTCGGGGATATTTTTCCAGAGAGGTAGACACGTACTAAACGGGACATTCAAAGCAATTTATCACAGCGGCTACTTAGCTACTGAACAATGGCATCATTGTACGTGCTCAGCATCCTGCTAATGCACGGTTGTCACCATAACCCGTACCGCCGCCATTTTGCCCGCGGGAGTCAGTAATGTGTTGCATATCTACACCTGCGATGAAGTGTGTGTGAAAGAGTATGGCTACTTAAGAGCCCTCTACATTGCGCAAACATTCATTAAACAATGGGTGTCCGAGAGGAGATACAAAAATGAGTAAAAATCAAGCCTGAATCATTTTATTTTGTGTCAGATGTATGTGCCCCCCTCCCCCTTTCTTCTCATGCATTGCTAACACAATACGTTCACACTACAAATTATGAGGCTCATTTTTGTCGCAGATACAGTGATGATCGAGCCTGTAGGGGGCCTGACTGTACCACATGTCTTCTTTAACGAGGAGAAATAGTTAAATTTCGCATTCACAGCCGATTACGCATCTGAATTACCCACTTTTTGACCAAGGACTATTTTGAAATGGGGAGGGGGGCATGACCATGAGTTGTCCCAAACAATGCCAGGGGATAGTAGTGACATCCTATAGCTTACAAATTGCAAAGAATGTGGCTTAGTTCAGCTCGCCTGTAATCTGTTTCTTCCACCTGGGCGGATTTGAACTTTGACCGCCTATATCCAAGGCACACGAAAAGTCAGTCTGAGAGTAAAGAACTGATTCATAATGAGCTATATCATATCTGTTAGTAATAGATTTGTAATCTATCTCAAAGCCCTTGAAAAGGAACATTAGCCCTTGAAGACAAGGTTTCTCATTTGTGGTGAATTTTGACGCTTCACGTGAGGTCCCAGGTGAGGTCCCATGCATGGTGACCCAGCCTGAGGCGGATACCGGAAAAACTCAAATTGTAGTTATCATAAAATATATTTTTGTACAAAAAAAGCTTGGGTGTCAACACAAAATCTTATTACCCCAGTCAAAATTCTCTATCGACAAGATGACAAGACGTGGTTTTGTATTGGATCTAATATACGGTTATTAGGTAATTTCGAGATAGACGAAGATTATATGATTTAAGGTATGTGTGAAAGTGAGAATTCTTTACGACCCCGCCTTGTCGTCCAACAACTTTCTCAGTCGACCCTTACCGTGTCTGGTCGGAGGTTGTCTGAACACCACAGTCTCCGAGAAGTCGCCAAGAATCTTCGAATCCCAGCTCCTTTAGCGTGAGTAAACCTTTTCTTGATATACTTCAAGAAAGACAATGTGTCCTTAGAGATATGGGTGAAAGTACAATGGTCTGGGAGTGAACGTTTTGACTCTATTGGTAGGTCAAGAATGTGTGAATGATAATGGTCACAAACAGGGCTGTAACCAAGCGTAATTTCTGTGCATAGTAAAATATCTAACACCAGATGTTTAGAATCTTCACAATCATCGTCAAATGATTAGGACAAGCTTTAAAGGCAGTTGCCTGGTCCAAACTATTCGGTTACGTGAGATTCTTCGTGCAGAGATTTTTGTGGTATAGAAATTTAAAAGAGACCGACCCTTTTGTTTGAATCCAGACAGCTGTCACAAAATGTCTGCACAATATTGAAGATGAAACGTTAAATTATACGATGTACGCTGACACTGGATTCAGATGATTTTAGACGACAATGTTGGTTGTAATCTCGACACTATTATCGGTGGATCAAAGAGAATATTTGCTCCTCTTTTTTTGTCGTTGTCAAAACGGGGGCCTAATTTACAGACCGCAACCTTGAATCTATCATTATCGTACTAAGTTCTTTTACACAAAACACAAATGAAGCACAAAGCTAATTAAACACCAAAGCTTGACTCGTAAAATCTAGACAAGTATAAAGGTCACAAAAGAGCATGAGAACAAGCAACTCGTCGAATGAGAGATTAATGTTTTCGAAAATTTGAGGCATGAGTTTTGAGACATAAAGATACCACCTGGTTTCCTTGAATTCTAAACCATGTGTCCCCAACATTTGGTCTTTCTTTGATTGCACTTTTGATCGATGAGGGCACCATTTTACCGAGCTCGAGGCTCTAATTATTTTAAGCTTCCCAGGGACGACCTGCCTTTCCGTTGGTCAGATAGAATAGAGATTTTCGGATAACGTTGCAAATAGCATCCATATCTTTCCTGTAATCTGCAGCCGAAATATTTTAACCTTTGGATTTAAGGTCATGCAATATTTCACAAATTAAACCAAACTACGGCTCCTGCTTTGCTTACTACTACGCAACTTATTACCAAGCTGAGTCATACATCGTAAAATACTTCATGAATCAGAACCTCCATTGTACTGACAAATTCTTGTCACTCATAAATCGTCTTTGCTAAGCTCCTAGTATGTTTCATGTAGTAATTAAGGTTATTTTATGGACGTAGTTCGAACAGACACTGCACAGTATGCATATCTAGTGATCCCATATCTATAAAATGGAAAAGGCAGTACAAAGAATGATGGACATTAAAGACGGCGTTGTTGTCCTTGGAGGTTTGGTCCTTCAAGAAGCTCAAGGTACTTCACAATAAGGTATAATTGATTACGTAGTTGGCATTCCGTACTTAACACTATTCTTCACACACCTGCCCATTAGAGTCATCATTTATGACGCGACAATGCCTTGTTACCATTTTAACCAAATCCCTCCTTCTGCGTCTATGTGAAGCTTAAAACCTGACAAAGCTGAGTGAAAGAAATCCATAGGATTGGCTCAGTTAGAGACATCAGAATACAGTAAATACAGTTGTCCTTTGATCCGTCGAGGTCATGTGAAAGGGATGCACCTCGTCACTGTCAGTTGTGACGTCCCCTCAAGCGACAGTCCCATCGCCTTATCCTTGAGTGGATGTGAAACAAACCACGAGGTCGGGAGGTCAAACCACACCAAACAGGTCCGGACAATCTAGTCTCCACCAGACTTCTTTTGCGAGCAAATGGATCTTCTCTGGCCGGCTACCTTCTCTTGTCAATTAATACCCTTTTTAGGCCGATTTCTACGATTTATTCAGCCCGCAAAAGAAGTCTGGTGGAGACTACGGACAATCCCTCCGTCGGGACGAATCGTGGACATTTTCTGCTAATCTGCTCAATGGACTGTGACATTAGGCGCGGACAATACTATAATCGCTCTGGAGACAATGCAGGTTTCCGGACTTGGTTTCCTCTTTAGTCTAAATGTCTGGAAAAATCAACATTCCAAGCTGAACGATCCTTGTTTTTCTGTTGCACGTTCAGCAATTGCTCATAAACAGTGACAAGACATTCTTGTTATTATTTATTTATTTTTTCATGTAGTCAAGGTGACAGAAATTTGATGTAATCAATTTGACATGTGGGATTTGATGTGAATCACATTAATAATTGTTATTAAAGGATATCCTCACAACTGTATTATTATGATGATTACAATAATTTCTGTGCTACGTAAGGGTCACCATGTAGCAAAGGCCAAATGACACTTGAGGTCACATTATGATTTAATTATGATATCGTTATGACAATTATGATAATGATCAACTATGTTGGTACTGTAATTCATTACATTATTAGGGAAAAGGTGATTTGTGCAAAATATGAAATGCAAAATTGATAGTAATAACAATATTCAACCTTTGTTTTTAGCATTTGTGCCACGATGGGACTGTATGTCACTGGCTTAGTACTGGTAGCGTTTGTGGCTGTCCAGTTGGAAGTAAGTATGCGCACCTTTCATTATAATCTACTTCACCACAACTAAATCAGAATAAAGTATCTATCAGAACATTTCTTCTTCTCTTAAATGCCCAACATCATTGTAATAATGACTCCAGCATGTCAGGGTGTGCCGATGCTGTCCACATTTAATTACATATCTAACTTTCCATATCTACATGTATCTGGTTGTTGTTCTTTTAGTAGATTGTTGTTTTTTCACCATAGTGACAAGTTATACAACTTTTACTACTTCAGGGCATTCATGGAGTGGAGGACTGGAATCTGAGACAGTTGGCCTGTAAGTGCGAAAACACTTGAGTTTTACAGACGCTGGTTAACCTTGTGATAGCTGTAGGTACGAGTATTGTCTTCTTCTGTAGCTTGAAAGCTGTTGTGATCAGAGCGTAAGAAGTTTGGTTGCAGGGGTAACTCTTGTTTCATGATTGTACCTGTAGTGCACTTGTAACTACCACCATCCCAAAAAATCTGCTCGCTAATGTACAAGCATCACAATGGATGTGTGTTGGTTAGCGCAGTCACACTTTATGTTATAAGGCATAGTCGTGGCGCTACATGGTGTAGTGGATTACTTAGTAGTTGTCATCCTTTTCAATCCTGTTTTATTTAGATAGCGATTATATGTCATGTTCAGTGATAGAACATACCTTCAACATTAGCGACATAAAGTCATTATGTATAGGAGATGGTCATCTGTCACATTTATAAGTAGTTGGTGGTGTCTTACTTAATACTTAGTAACCATTTGAGTCCAATAGACTATGTAAATGTGCTTTGGATTCGTACTGTGCATGCCCGTAGCCAGGGGGGGGGCTCTAAAGGTCCAAGATTTTTCTTTAAAAGATGGACTGATTCGTGTCACCGGCAAGGCTGGAATCGTAGAAAAACGGAAAATTTTGAAAAAAAGTTATCTCTGATTTTCTTCTTCTTTGAAATCCTCTAAAAAAACCGTAGGAAATGCCATTTCAGAAGGTTCATTTTCAAAAATTTCCCGGGGAAGCATGCACCCGGACCTACGGCGCTCGCTGGTCCCTCAAGCAGTGGGAAGAACCCCCCCCCCCCCCCATTCAAAATCCTGGCTACGGGCATGATGTGAACACCTGTGATTCCTCTGTGTTCAGCCATCCGGGCGTCCCTGAAGCTGAGTGACGTCGACTGTTACACCGGAAGTGGGGAGAACTACCGAGGAACTGTGGGAGTGACGGAAACTAACGAACCCTGCCTGGCCTGGAATTCTAATGACGTGGTCAACTTCCGCGCCAAAAGTACCAAAACGTGAGTCCAAACAGGATATAGAGATTATATCAGATCAAAATGATACTGTTGTTGTTGTTGTGTACGCTTCCTTATCTCTATTTCTCCGGATCTCCATTGACACAATGTTTGCAAACTAAGCATTCTTTTATGCTCTTCACGTAACAGTATGACTGTTTTGTCTTGACATTTTGCAATTGTGTTTTAAGGCACCATGAGCATTTTGAACTCAGGTCCTATGTTTCTGGTAAAGATGTTAAGATATTGGCTGATGTATCCGTGAACAAGTTAAGAAGACGCAAAGACAAGTGTTTAAGAAATCTAAAAGCAAAGTTGCCACGAACAATCGTACAAAAACAACCAATTCGTATTAGACGCAGCATTTTTAACTAGTGATACTACTTTGTGAAAAGTTGCTGATTGTTTCTTCTCTGTTATACCCTTACTATTGCAGAGTCCCTGGTGGGCAGTACAACGTCGGTAACCATAACTTCTGCCGTAATCCCATCCCCGGTATCGTGACCCGCCCATGGTGCTATGTGGCCTCCAAAAACGACTGGGCTTTCTGTCCCGTGTCTAAGTGTACAGGTAAGGTCTACACTCCGATGTTAGAATACCAACGTCTCGTATCAGCAACCCTCTTGTTATGTACATCATATTTTTCTGCATTTAGAGTCCCAAAAGATCACTAGAAAGCTGTAAACTGTACCTAAACCAGCAGTTCATCAGATCTGATGTTTGTTAATCTATTTTTAATTTTCACCATCAATTGAACGTCTCTCGTTTAGACAAATTTATACCGTACAACTTATTGTTTTCCAAATGTATCACAGCTACAAGTTACAGAGGCCATTGATAGTTTACTCAAAGCATATCATACATTGTGTTAGAGCTAAGGGATTATAGGGAAGCTAATTTTCCCACAATTCTTCCAGCTTCCGCTTCCGGTACCACCGGTGGTGCCCAGAGGGCCACCGTGACGTGCCCAGCCATCACCCCGCCCACTACTGCCGTGACCGGCTGCGCCAAGGGCAAGTCCTTCCCGGTGGGCCACAAATGCTGGGTGCTGTGTCCCACAGGACAGAAGATCATGACCACTGAGTGCCAGGCTACCGGGAAGTGGAGCGTGGAACCCTCTAAGATGACCTGCTCGGGTGAGCAATTATCTATTACATGTACAATTAACCATCATTATGGGTTCACCACACCACGAAGTGGTGAAACCATATTGCTTTTTCTGATGTTTCTTCTTCTTCTTCTCCTCCTCCTCCTTCTCCTCCTGCCATTTTTTAAATGGATTCAGCTTCTTCATTTTAGGGCCCAAGGTCCTGAAATTTGGTATGGAGGTACAGTGGGCAAATACCCCTAGGCGTTTTTTAAATTATTGTGATACAGGCTTTTAGAATGGTTTTATTTGAGTTTTTTGGCTGTGTTATAGCAAATGTATTACTGTGTTAGGGTGCCTTGTTTACCACGTTTGGACATGAGTCATCACAATGGAATGCAGGGCATCAACCAATAGGCATGCAGCTTTCCTCTATACTTCTTGCTGATTGGCTGTTGGGATTTAACTTGATTAACACCTGCACAGAAGCATTTCCATACTGACAGTATGTCTGTATTCAAGTGTTTTGGTAGGTATTTCAAGCTTTCCTGCTCCAGCAGTGGAATGCCGGGCATGGACGTTTTTTTTTTATTTTGAAAATCAACAGTTTGCATTATGCAATTAAAAATCCTAACCAATAAAGTAGGGAATAGCTATCCAACTGTTGTTTTAGTTGTATTTTACTTCATATTATAGTTATATCAATGTAAATCATTGTTTTCCCTTGTGTTTCCCATTCTTTCCCTGCCATGTCGTAAAATGTGGTGAACCCATCGCTGTATTTGCTCCAAAGCAAATATTGGCCTTTCTAGTTTGATTCGCTTTCTTCATCATCATCTTCAATACTGCTTATCCCTCTGTATCCCTCCATATGTGACACAAAAAATGAATTGAAAAATAATAAAAATTTGGTTATAATGAAGTTAATACTTTCGTTCAACACATTTGGTAATGCCTATGTACACAACATCAAATATGGTTTGTCACGAAGCAGATAAAATGCAGAAAAGATCACCTAATTTTATACATTGTCTAAAGTATTGCTCTGTATGTTCATACGAACTAAAGACAAAAAATGCAGTTTTCAGGTCTCAAATTTTTTTTCTTCTTGCCCGCCGGCAGCTAGTGCAGCATCCCAAACGGGCGGCAGTGGAACCGGTGGCGGAAGCACCTCTGGTGGGATCGGGCCGCTGGACAAGGTGTGCCCGGCGCTGAACGTCCCCACCGGCGGCTTCTCCAACTGCAAGGGCCCGCAGCGCATCGGCGCGACCTGCGGGGTCGGCTGCCTGGGTGCCGTCACCACCGGGGTGGAGTACATCAAGACCACCTGCATGTCGGACCAGAAGTGGACCAAGCCAACTGAGTTCACCGCTACCAATACCAAACTGGGGTGTGCAGGTACGAAAGAAAACTCGGTCGATTTCTTCCGATTGGTTTCGATGGTCCTTGGTTCGTTTGATGGGCAGCTAACAACAACTCAACAGTAACCAATGACTATCTAACATGTGTTAACAAGGGCACGCGCAGTACTGATTCTCGCCCTGTCTCGCGAGAATTGCTTCGAGAATAGTATCCATTTCTTTTATGATACTGTGAAATTTCGGTGTAATTTAGTTGAATACTGCAAGACCGTTTTAAATTTTGCTTCAGAATAAACCAATGATGATGATGATCTCCTTGTTCCCTTCCCCAGGATCCCCAGTCATCCCGCCGAACGCCCTGCACGTGCCTGCGGGAACCGGCGGCGGCGGCACCGGGGGGAGTTCCAGCACGACTTGTTACAAGGTCGCCGACAAGGGCAAGTCCTACCGCGGGAACCAGGCTAAAACCGCCAAGGACGCCAGCGGAGTCCAGTATGACTGTCTGAAGTGGGACGCGCCGGAACTGAAGTAAGTCCTACGCTTCGCAGTAGTCTCTACCAGGCTTCTTTTGGAGACGCTTAAACATTTATGGATTGTCTTTAGATATCAAACCTGACCTTAGAAATTGGTGGGTTTAGTGTATTTTACTTTCATCGTTTATTGGTCTGCAGCATCTTTAAACGAGAACCCTTAGCCTTACATTCTAGCGAATGGCACATTCAGCACCAAGGACAGAGTTGTTACGTATTTTCATGCCTCTTAATATTTGGTACAAATGCACCTTTGTGCACTCAGAATTGAAGATGTGCACCTAACATTTGACTGTACATCCAGGTAATTTTGGATATTACTATAAGGTTAATTGAAAGTAAAGGTAATACTAGTATCTAGTATTATGTACTACTATGTACGTATCGAAGTATTTAAGAATTTTTTATAGAACTCACATGTTTGTTCTCTATCCATTCAGGTACTACTTCTACAACATCGCCAACTTTCCTAACGACAAGGACGGCATCGGTAAACACAACTTCTGCCGTAACCCTGCCCCTGAACCCGAGCCCTGGTGCTACTACATGTATCAGAACAAGGTTCAGTTCAAGTCTTGTGGTGTGCCGAAATGTCCTTAGAAAAGTACAGTACACTGTGGCAGGATTTGGCGTTAAAAAAAGGTTTTAAAAGAGTCCAAAAATTACCACCATTTTTGGATCTACAGTGACTAAGTTTTTTTTTCAGACAGTTAAGATTATATATCATAAGTTGATATGTTTTATCTTTGCTTTATAAACTGGTGGCATTTTTCCTTGCAATGAAGTTGATACCTACCTCTTCAAGATAGTGATTAGAGTAGGCCGGTATGATAGTTTTTTTAAAGAAAAGTTATATGGTCACTGGGTCACAATAATAACAACGGTCAATCACAGGACACAAAGTATTTGGCATTAGGCCATGTTGATTTGATTATATGGATGACATCCTCTGGGAACCCCAAAACTGATGCGCGCGTGCGAATAAAAAAAAGTTTTGCAAAAAAAAAAGTTGCTTTCACTATGAAGTCTACGTGGTCATGAAGGTTGAACAAATGGCACAGAATATGTTATGGTGAATAATCTACTCTTCGAATTCATTTCTTTACATTTTTGTCTTTTTTCCTTTGATTTTGGCATTCTACGACATTTGTATCGTTTCTAAATGTTTTCCTTGCAACTTATGGTATATTTTTGCTCATCTAGCAACTGTTTTGCACGATTTACAGTATGGTTGAAAACTTTTTTTTTGGAAACGGCCGAAAATTCATGCGCGCGCGGATGTCATCCATATAATCAAATCAACATGGCCTTATCATTCCTATATTCAAAGAAAAATACACATCATTCTGGTACTAACATATGGAGTTCATTCATGACTTCAACACAGTCACATACATCTTCAAAAACAGAGACATCTTGCTTGCTTCTTGTTTTTTGTTACTATTATATTGTTCCAGTAATATGTATTCTAGAATGTTAACATAATATTTAATAAATAATCTATAAAAAGAAACCAAGCTATTTATAATCAACTCCTATTTCAACTTAGTATTACATTTCAGGTTAAAGATGAGTAAGTTTAAACAAGAAATATTATGCATGCCTTAGTTTTGAGTTTACTTTTTGTCTTTGTTTACTTTATTGTTAGTAGGTGATTTTTTTTCTTCTAATGCAATACTTGTCCGGAAATCAAAGTGTGAATGAAATTCAGTTAATATTTTCAGTACAGTTGGAATATTCAGTGGATTGCGCTTTTGCACATGATGGAAATTTTTTAGGCAATATATAGTCATAAATAGTACATGTACCACTGTAGTTAGACGAAATCGTACAACGTAGGACATATTTGTAGTACATACCATACCATACACAACACAACAAAACAATGCAACATGATAATGGAAGAAAAAAATGCCGGATTCAGAATCATTGTTTCTTTCATATCCATATCCTTCCATATTGTATCAATGCAGCACGTCGACAAGAATGTCTGTGTGATTGTTCTCTACCTCTTCTGTGTTTTGCTTGGTATCGTTAGCAATAAACGTTTATACATGTACTTACATGTTGTCTCCTGTGTCATTGTACTTGTCTTCAACCTATCCAACCCATCTGCATTTCTTTATCAAAGAAAACAGGTTGATAAAACTGTTTTATGGAGTGACCTTCCTGTGATGTATTAAGATCTGCAACAGCGACGTCTACCGTCCACTTTGAGTAGTACAGCCAAGTCTTACACCGCGGACGACGGCGGCAGATTTCTAGCTCCCCCTGGCGGCGAACTGATTGCAGCTATCTTTGACAAGCCAGAATTTACCTTAAAGCGTAGATGGGGGAGGATATTTAGCCTGGTATCCAAACCTGGAAAAGGCCTTGACTTTGAGAACATATATCATAGACATTGCCTCATCTTTTAATCTTTATAGTATACTATATAAACACACAATGTGATAACTGAAATTCCTTTAAAAACTCAAAAAGGGTCTGAAACTTGATGATGCAAACAATATTTTTTAATGGAGAACAACCAACAGACAACAGTACAAAGATTGTTAAGATATCTCTAATTTATTATTCAAGTAGTTCTATATACTAATGATAATCACGCCAACCAATCAATGACAATGTGCATCACAGAAACTAGGATACGAAACGTGCATTTTAAAATTTCTAATATGTGTGCCGATATCAAGTGAATCACAACAGGAGGTAGACTTATTTTCGTGATACAAAGAAGTGTCAAAATAGCGGTGCTAGTAGGACGATCCTTTCAGTCTCATGACTATATCATCCAGCCTGCGCCGCTTTTTCGGAGGTAGTCTCGCACTAGTAGCAGGCCCTGCGCCGCCATCTTGTTTGGAGTCACGTGTGACGTTGACCTGCCCGTCATGCGCAGTAGCCTGCTGTTGTTGGGCCTTCTCAGCAAGTGATGAAGCATCATTGGCCGAATGAACTTGAGAAGCACATTTTTCCTGGTACGTTTTGGCGCCATTATTTCTCACTTCACTGTCGGGAGACCTTCGTTTTGTAGCTCTGACTTTTTTGTCCACATATGCCGCATGTTGTTCCTCGTTGTCGGGACGTAGCATGGACCGGCACAGACCTTCGTTTGTCGTGTCTGCATCATTCCATGTTTGTAGGAAACGTTTGTGGGCGGTGCATAGAGCGTGCAGCGCTCCTGTCGCGGGTAGGCATGGTTGACCGCCAGGGTTAGTGACGTACGGTGTTGAAGGTCTATCTTCATGATATGGTAGACCCAGTGCTGCATTTCGGGTTGTTTCTCTCTTGATTTCTCTACTCACATCATGGGTTAAAGTTTTGCCATAGTCAAAGCCCCACCTGCTTGCACTTTGCTGGAAGAAAGCAAAGTTCCCTTTTAGAGCTGCCTCTTGGCTGGTACCGTGGACGGCTCGTTTCCTTGAACCGGCAGACATTCTATCAAACTCCTCCACAGTTATAGACCTGGTCTCCACGATGGTTGGTAGAACTTCCTTTTTCTTCCATCGGTCAAAATCTGTGCAGTTGCAACCGACGTCAGAACACGCCATGGGGAGACCCTGAGATGAGAAGGCTGTCTGCTGGCAACTCGAGTTATCCTCACCAGATTGCCCAGTGATGTAGTCTGGAGAAAAGCGGCCATATCTAGGGTAAGGTGGTTGATCCTGTCCGCCATCTTGTGGTAATCCAGGGTCGAAGTTATTAGACACCCTCTGGGCAAACATGATTTCAGACGACTGGGTTGTCAATTACAAACTGTTGCGTCAGTCAGAATGCAGGTAGATGTCAATCACAGATTGGGAGGTCAAAGATGATGAAGGTCATGAAGGTCGACCTGAAACACATACATGTACTCATTTGTTGTGTTGTTTGGAAGGTATGTGGTGACGCATGTCCGTAACAACGACAACAGTGCTCAGTTATTCCAGACAGCAATATATCATGTCACTATGAACAACACTCAAATGAAGTCCAAAAAGATTCCTACTGTACATGACCACGTCTGCCCAAAGCCTGCCAAGCTGAAACCATTTCATGTTACCGATACATGCGCCAGACATGAAGGCATGAAAAAGATACTAGTAAACCAAGGCAATACGTTATTTAAAAAATCTGCCTGTTGCAGTCAAAAAAGAATTATGAAGTTGACATGTTTTGTTTGCAGACCGAAGGTCATAAACTGCAGCTGTAAACTCTGAGCCCTGCAACTTTATAAATCATACACTTGGCAACCCATAAATCTGTTTATATGCAACATGTGACCCCAAGAATCAGTCAGGTCGTTTAGAGATTGTTATTACTTGACAAAGAGAACGTACCATTAGATTGGGCTCACCATCGAGTCCTCTTTCGTCAGTCATGTTTCCAAGATGCCATGATGCTGTAACCTTTGGCCTGCGACGGAGAAGAACCGGTTTTAACTAGCCTGGGGTGGTTTTAAATCATTCTGTCGGATCATCCGACAACTACCTTTTCATTGTTATGCAAATTATTCAGGTGCTTAAGCTGTCATAACCATAGACAATGATTGAAGATTAGAAGTGAAGACAAGAGATTGTATGAAATTTATACCATTCCACAGTCCGATTGCAACTGATGTCTTAGAGACGCAATGAACTCTTCTAAAAAGGATGAATGTTGACAAAGAAGTTAGACAAGTTGCGCTAGCCGCGTCTTCTAATTATCTTTTCCCTCATACTTAAACAACGGTAGGATTATAGATGACAGTGTGCTGTAGTTCACTTTCCAGCTGCACTGTTAACCTTTCACCAAGTTGCGTTGCGTGAACTGTATGAATTCAGGTTCAAGGTTATATCGGTGCAAAGGGAGAAACAAAGGTCAACATGACATTGTAATGTTGACAAAAAACAGGTTATGTGATTGTTGAGTCAATATTTACTGTAAGAGCACAAGTTATAATTGAGCAAGTCGCGTTACTTCGAGTCAAACGTAATGTAGACTGACTTATAAACCTTATTTATGTTAGAAAACAAGAAATTGAAGATCCCATGCCTCCGCCCGAATAGTCGTCTTTAGTAGATTTGATACTAGTAATTAAACACACATGAAATGACAAAGAATGTTGTAATTAGCACAGACCGAGAGTTACGTGCACATTTTCAAACGACTCCTCACCCTTCGTCAAGTATGCTGACCCATTCCCGTCTGACACGTGACTTAACGGAAACGTGACGTCAGGGGTGGGTCAAAAGTGCTCAGAAGTCTGTACCGTCCGCCGTCCCGGACGAGGACTGGTAAGTGGGCTTTAATGTAGATAACCCGCTTCATGCCCCTCATTTTAAGTGCCCACATGCTATAAAGGGATGCTGTATAATTTCACGGAGCACTCCATAATTACCGTTGTAGTGGTAGTATTTCAGTCCTGTTCTGCATTATGTAATCATATTCAGTAACACAGTATCCGTTGTGGAATGAGAGCTGCGTATACGTCTCTAACACATCCTTCTTACTCTTAAATCTCTCTATTACCGAGAAATACGGAAGTTTTGTATTTCACAACGAAAGAGCACTAGCTTTTACAGCAAAGATGGGCATTTAATCAATGAAATGTGTTGATAATGATACCCCGAATAACGGCGGAAGTGGCAAATTACCCAGCAATTGATACCAGTTGTTATTCCTGTCCCAAATGCGTAGAGTTGAACACATCTGCTCGCAGCTGCCTTTTACGCCAAGGCCATTTTAATCTTTCCCACACGCAGCTTTCGCAAAGATAGATAAGTGAGACCTTTGTGCTTTTGACTGTCCTCACGATTACAGTTGCCAAAAGTGTAATGGATATATCTTTGGGTTAGTTAGCTATAGCGTCATGGTATAGGGACTAGCGATTACATCATATGAGCGGAAATTATTTATTCCTCTCGCCGATCCAGTTCCGTGTACCATTACTGTTCCTCATAGTCAGATTTCCAACATGCGTACGGTTTCCTTGCTCCAATCAGTACGCTTTGATTAAAACGGCCTGGGCATAGCTGGGTGCATCAGCTTGCGTCTGTTGTGTCCTGGGAAAGAGAACGGATATTTTCTGCAAAGCATACTGGGAAAATTAACTTTCCTGAGGACGAGTTTTTTGGCGGATGTTTTTTTCTTCGTGACCCAACTCCCCTCTGGACAATGCAGAACGGATCCCTAAACACCCCCAAAGAAAGTACATTCTAAAGCCCCGTTTCGCATGAGGTAACGTTTTAAACATGGCGACCAATCCGGCCCATAGTAATTTAATTAATGTTGAGCATAAAATGCCCCAACACCTCAAAACACGGTGAAAAGCAAGCTGTTTGACGTCAACAGGATCATTCCGATGCCTTCCAGCCCTATGCAAATGAGGGTTACCCCCTATTTTCGCATTGCATTCTGGGGATGGGAAACTGGTGAATAGACTAACTATACGCTCAGTCGTAAGAAGTACCGCCCATACTTGCACACACAACAAATGATAACCATAACACAACCCGATCGTGAAAAGAAACATGATAGGAGTAAATTCTAGCCTGACTGAACCTCGCTTTTCGCCGGCTTCCTAATTAGTCTGTCTAAATTGTCTGTATGTATGTAATATTTCTTTAATAAACGAAAAAAAATAGAAAAAAATTTGTCTGCCACAAGGTCTTCAAGTGGGCAGCTCCTTGAGCGCATGACAAAGAGTTTTTTTTCACAGGCTAGCTATATAGAGAGAGTAAATTCCAGAGCATTTATTCTTTTTTAATATAGAGAGAGGGAGAACGGAATGAACCTTTGTCATTGAGTTCGAGCGCACGTGCGCGGATTCCTGGAACTATATACATATTTCCAGAAAATCGTATGAATAACTGTTTATAAAACATATTCCCCAGTCTTTGATGATGCTTTTGAACAGGCAGTTCTTAGAAATGTGACGTCCTTTTCTTTTTTTCTACATTCCAACATTTCTTGACTAGACATATCATGGTGACAGTACACTCAAGTTATATCAACTTATTTTATGCCGCCACCGACGGAGAGGACGAGTACAAGACAAGACAAAACACGGGAAAGCCGTGTTAAGTGCCTTTTAAGGGCACAAGATCGGTGGCATGTCAGGACTCGAATCCTGGACCTCTTTGTTCCGAGTCGAGCACGCTACCGCTTCGCCACACGACCCGACGTCCTGTCTTTAACATTTACCGGGAAACCCTCAGCGCTACGCAGGCATTCCCAATAATGGAGAGGAAGTGCGGTTCAAAGTACGTAATCTTGGCGACATGCCAAGAAGGTCAATGTTAAGTCATACGTCACTTCCGCTCGAGGGTGGATCGGGAACTGACTAGGTGCCATTCTCCGCCCGATTTCGCTACTTTGAGGACCTGATCTTTTGCTGTACACGGCAGTTATGGTAAGAACCGGTATTTACACTATAAAAACGTAGCATCATATTTTACTGACAGTTCGATAACGTACTATTCTTAGTTGTGACCATTGTCGACACATGCCTTGCGAGAAATAATTGATATACCGTCTAATGCTGAGTAATTTTTAATAATCGATCACGCTTAACAAGTCTCTTTTTTATCAATCCCTTCCTCTGAAACTATCTTTTTGGTTAATTTTGTCGAAAGTCGTATGTTGTTTTTGTGTCACTGGATGTTGATATGATCACTTACAAACTGCCAGTCACTGGCATAGTCTAACTTGAACTGACTGTCTTTCATGCTTTAGTAGTTTAGTAGGAGGTCGCGAACTTTTGAAGGCCCCCATTTGAATGTTTGTTTGTTTGTTTGTTTGTTTGTTTGTTTGTTTGTTTGTTTTGCATAACCGGTAGCACACTAGTTTTGTACATGTAAGTACAAGCTGCGTAAGACCGGACTGTAAGGTTTGAACCACTCACACCGGGAAGGTCCCCCACTCTTTTCGATAAGTGCGGTGGGGTCTTTAACGTGCGTGGGGTGTAGCTCTCCCCAAACACAGGGCCTCCATTTAACGTCCTATCCGAGGGACGTCCCTAACCGAAGGGAGGTACTCATTTTCACCTGAGTGAAGTGAGGACTGGGACGTGCCTTTCCCAAGATCAGTGACGTGGGAAGGATTCGAACTCGGGACATCTTGGTCCTGAGCCGAACACGCTACCGCTATGCCACACGACCCCACTTTGTAATGTAATGTAACTGTAGTGAAATGTGATTTAGTGAACAATGTAAATGTAGTGAACTGAAACAATTCTTAAGTTGGGACCCAAACGTTTCTAAAATTCTTTGTATCCTAAAGCAACAACAACCTCTACATCTGCTTGAATAACTTTTCTGACATCATTATTCGTCACAAGTATCGTACTATTTCACTCCAGTGCTAGAAAAATACACACACCTGCCAATGTGATGACTTTACTAGGAAATCCGCCTGAGTAACAGCGAACCATACATCTGTCTGTGTCTATTTTGGTGTTATGGATGGGCAGTTTCTATAATAAGCGACCGAAATGCGTGTGTAACATTTGAGTTTAGCTTTGTTTAGTCTTCCCTTTGGAAGAACGTGTCTGCACGACGTTTTTACTATTACTATATAAGTACATGATTGTACGTTCTATGTGATTTACATGTTACACGTGCAGCGACACGTGTTACGAACGAGAATGCCCCAGCCCACGCACATTCTGACACAGCGTGCTAGCTACTAACCAAGTGTGAAGCAAGTCACGATTTTCTTCTGGGATAACTCAATAAGTACAATATTCTTCATTCAGTGACTGCTTTTGAAAGGTAGAAATATAGTAGCCTCCTGTGCAGGCCCCGCGGCGGTGGGGAAGAGTTTTTAACACATTATTTTAATATAGCCGGCCATCCTACATAGCCGCCGAGAGAAGGTTCCATTCCGCCCGTGCGCGGGGCCTGCACAGGAGGCTAGAAACATAGATAACTCAGGTCTGGTTTACCTGCTATCATTTCAGTAGTCCTGCTACTTTTCTCAGGTCACGAATGACATTTAAATTATGGGGAAATCACATGTGGCCGCCACATTGCGGTACCTAAAAAAACGCATTTTCCTTTCATGAAGTTGTCAATCAAACGACAGGTTCTGTGGAAGTACGTGTACTTTGTGACACTGTGGATTATGAATTACATAATCCACAGTGTAATTCATAATCCACTGAATTACGAATGTATTTGTGTTCAATCCTTACAGCACACCGGATGTGGACAGTTAAGGTTATGCACCAGTTGATGCGAGACATTCCTTTATTTTGTCAAATACAGTGCAAGCCGAACTTGAATGACGTTTATAAATGTTGTTCATTTGTTGTGGCATTGTTGTCACGGAATAAAGCTAAGATATTTGACGCGTTTTGTCAACATCTTTACATGAGACCGTGACAACTGACAAAAGATGGCGATTGGCCATGAGTCAAAAACACGCCATGATGACGTAAGCACTTGTCTACGCCCACGTCTGCCCTACCGGTCAGTAGAGGCTGCTGTATGCTTGCCGTCCTGTCGGACACTTCCAGTTATTCATGATTTCAACATCCGAGATCGTCGATGAAGTAGGAAGTCTTTAACCGTA